TATCCTAAAAGTCTCCAGTTCAGATCACAGATCAAAATGCTTAGGTTGTTAGTTTTTTTTAGGCATACTCACTTCGTAGCAAGTACGAGTATGCATGTGCACTTTTGGTATAACTCGATGGTATAATTAAATATGTATATTAAATTTTTTATTGTTATTAATTTATATGAGTTTAAAATGATACATAGCATACAATATATTAAAATTATTATTTTATCCAATAATAATCACTCTCTTTTATTTTGCCTCAAATTAGTAGAGGATGACCGATTTTGAAGTACCGATTGCAAAAATAAGACAGATTTACAGAGGGTAAGTACCTTACAAATCTTTTTCAAACATGCACCTTCTTTTTTTTTAAATAGTCCTTGTTTACATAAGTAAATACAGCCTATAGTTTCTTTTAATTAACGGCCTTTCGGGGTTTTCGTTAACCTCAGTGAAATGATTAGTAAGTGAAATAGCGTCAGAGTGGGTGGGTGGGGGGGGGGGGGTTGACTTGAAGATTTGGTTTCGATATTTTACAGGATTCACTTTTTTGTCACTCACTTGTAATCAGATAAACTAACCAGGACGAATAAAAAAAAAACAGACAAACGTACAGACAAGTGAAAAGGACAGACAAATATACAAATGGACAGACGAAAAAGGACTGATGGAATGTCAGAGAATAAGACAGACAGACGAAAAGACATTAGACAGTAAGGGTACCTGTGTAACAGTGAAGCATTTTTAAAAAGACTAATAAAAAAATCTAAACTAAAACACACTGTTTTATTTTTCCGCAGTTTAATAATAGTAGATCTTCCACAGGTTGCAATTGAAAGTTAAACAATTTGAATTAAGACGGAACAAACACTCAACATTCACTAATTTTAGAATTCGAAAGTTGAAGGTGATATCTAGAATGTGTGGTAATTTGAAATAAAACAAATTGTAAAACTTTTTTCGCGTTTGTTTTGTCTTTAAAACTTGGTAATAACTTTCATCATAGTTAAGTAGATCCTGCAATATTGAAACGTCGATGATTACGTTTCAAATACCTCTGTATATAACATTATATTCTGGTCTGAATCTAAGCTAGACGTCTAAGTCTAAGTATCCATCAGGTATCCATCAGGTATCCATCAGAGCTTGTTGGACTCGAGTCTAAGATTCATACTGGATACGTACACGTCGCCTGTCGTAGACCGTCCACCCACCTTACTGATAGGTTTTAAATAACTATTTGTTTTTTTGCGATTTGACTAGATATGTATAAAAAAATCTAAAAAAAAACCAAGGTTAAAATCTACAATCTATAAACAACTCTTACAACACAACACGATGCAAATTCAAATTTTAATGTGTCGAATGCAGCTCATTTAAGTAATGTTAAAACGTTAAGTGATTAATTAGTTCCACTTTGTTTTGTTTTATGGTGTTGTAAGGTCAGTATTGAGATATTTATCCTGTTAGGCGGACAAAGCACTATCGAATTAAATGTGCGGAATAGAAAAGATATCGATAACAGGGTTGTGTGGTAAAAGTATGTAAACACGTATACTACATTACACTTAGATTTTTTAAAAACAATCCATCACTATCACATTGATCCGAAACTTTTGTTCTGTTTATATTCTTATCTTGTTGCATTTGATTTTATGCGCGGTCGATTATGTTTAGCTGAATGAGTAATAAATGTGATAGCTCGGTGCTCATATTTCCTTGGTGTTTTCTCTTTCAATTTATTATTGAATGGGTAAGATAAAGATTTATCGGATTTGCATACACCTGATTAAAGTTTTCATTCTCATTTATGAAGAACAATATTTGTGATTTTCTTTATTTATGCATTGGTTTTGAGTCCGTTAAATGAATAACTCGAATTATTTTATGGTACTTTAAATAAGAATAAACCGGGAGTGATCTCCCCTAAACTTTCTCGAATATTATTATTTTAAAAAACAGGGAATGAGAACTTGGGATATAGACATGAATTTTAATCCATTTTAAATACTTAAACTTTTTTACATAGAATTAAATCTCGTAGAAAAAGTAATTGCACACCTGTGAACGCCAAATAAAATGTGCATAATAGTGCGGAATATTTTAGTACTTTATAAATTTACATCAGTTTATGAGAAATCGGAAATAGCGTAAATTAGTACTTCCCGTAAACGGAAATTACCCAAAATTTGACAGAAGGTAGAGAATTAGATCTTTTACTTACATGTGAAAGAAATTTCATTTATCTATCTGAAATAGTACTCAAGTCATAGGCTTTTAAAAAATTCAAAGTAGAAAAAGTACCACTTCCGGTTATCGGAAATCGCTCAAAAGTTGATACGGATCTACGATTTTGATATAAAACATATATATGAAATTTCATCAACCTAGCTGTAACGGTATTCAAGTTATCGTGTTTACACACACACAGACACACAGACACAGACATATACAGAGACATTCGGACAAGATTGCAAAATGATGTTTTTCCGTATCAGTGAGGTGCAATACGTCACGATTTGCAAAAAATCTCGATTTTTTTTTTTGCACTATTATAAGACTTTCTCTGTACTTCTTAAATACGAGAAAGTAATAATAATTGATAGAAAAACTAAAATTCCAGTAGCTCTAATTTTACACTAAAATTACTTGGAATATGCAGGCCTATAAGTTTAATAATAATAAATGTATGTATATAAAAGAAGTTTGGAAGTCTATAATTAAATGTATCGATAGTATGCCAATTCGATTATTCATCGCTTGTATTTGTAGTGACTCTTCTGTTATCTTAAGTAGCTAGAAACTTTTGCTTGCTATTGTAACAACACGTATTTCTCGTTGGTATTGCAATACGGTCGTTATTGTGGGTTCGTTCATCCAAGAATACGACCAACAGGGCTTTGTAAGTTCAAACTTTATTTACCTAGATCCATAAGAAATAATGACGATATTCCACAGTAGAAAAATGACTATTACATTATAGTCTAGAACAAACTGACGTGCTGACATTTTACATCTTACTACACAGTCACGGGCAAGCACACTTAGTTCACCTTGCGCTCCCCCTTTAATACACCACTTTCTCTCCCCTTACGTCAATAAGCGATCTCACAAAAGCACGGAAAAATACATGACGAGTCGCTCAGACAGTCCTTCCGTTGGCCAGGTACTTTACATTCATGCAACTTCATGTAAAACACAATATAATACACATACCCAATAATGCAGTCTGTGACAGCCATCCTTATATATAAAGTCAAGTTTTACTTTGCACAAACTTTCCTTCGCGCGTTTCAAAGAAGAAACAAGTTAATTAAAAAGGCTAGTGACAATTTTAGCGCAATTTCCTTATGTTATCTAAAAATAGCTCTGTCGTAGCGTAAATCAAGAGCAGGGTTAGTAAAACCATTGGTTAGTTATTAAAACGTTTTTTATTAAAAAAATGTTCAGTATTTTACATGTTTTATTTACAATAGAGTTACATGACTAAAAACTATTGCGCGCCTAGCTACTGAACGGTGATGACGCAGCCATTGAACGTGATGGCGCAGCTATTGAACGTGATGACGCGTGTGGTGTGGTTGGAAAAAATGCCTACTAATTCGGTCCAAATTTTAATTACTTAAAAAAAAATTTTGTGACCGAACGAAAGGATATTTTTGAAAACTGTTCTAAATTATGACAGGAATCGATTGGTACATGTTTCAAGTCGCTAAGTGGTCTGGTTGCCGAGATATGGGCCAAAAACTGATTTTTTTCGAGGTTTTTTGGATTTTCCGGGAAATCCATGAAAGAAACCCGGAATTTTTATAGCCTATGTTCATCCTCGTAACTTGCTTAACATAATTGCTTTTGGAACTAGTCATCGATATTGCTTCGTTGAGGAGGAGATACGACTTAAAGCTGCGGACACACATTCATCCATCCATCCATCCATTCATACATTCATACATCCAGAAATGACGGGTTAATAAACGCAATTCTCCAGAATGGAAATTGCGCTAAAAAAGTCATAATATTTACTTTAATTTGCAATTTTTGAAAGCAGAGAAGAAAACAACTAAAAACACTAAAAAAACCCACAAAATATAATCTCCTATTAGGGTTTTATTTAAAATTTTGTCTAGTTTAGTCAGAATAAAAATCAGGGCATTGTGGGCCCCATTCGTGGTCGTTACTATTTTCGTTAACCAGATAATCAACGCTTCCATGTATTATGTTATAAAATGATTTAGAAATAGCGATTATAATTATTATTATTGAAATACCATTGCTAAAGCAGCCAAAAAAAATATTGATGTAAATGAAACAAAAAAATGAACCGGGAGTGATCTCCCCTAAACTTTTTCGGATATTCGAATATAAAACTACGAGGAATGGCAACTCAGGACATAGACAATATTTGTAATCCATTTTTTAAATTACGTAAACTTTTTTTAATAGAATGGAATCTCGTAAAAAAAAGAATTGCACACTAAGTGAACGCCAAATAAAATGTGCATAATAGTGCGCAATATTATTAGTACTTTATAAATTTACGTGCGTTTTTTGAGAAATCGGAAATAGCGTAAATTAGTACTTCCGGTCAACGGAAATTACTCAACATATAACAGAAGGTAGAGAATTAGATATTTTACTTACATGTTAAATTTCATTTATCTATCTGAAATAGTACTCAAGTTATACGCTTTTTGAAAAATTCAAAGTAGAAAAAGTACCACATCCGGTTATCAGAAATCGCTCAAAAGTTGAATCGGATCTACGATTTTGATAAAACACTTATATATGAAATTTCATCAACCTAGCTGTAACGGTACTCAAGTAATCGTGTTTACACACAGACACACACACAGACACACACACACACACACAGACACACAGAAATACGGACAAGATTGCAAAATTATGTTTTTCCGTATCAGTGAGGTGTAAAACGTTTTTGCACGATTACAATACTTTCTCTATACTTCGTATATACGAGAGAGTAAAAAAGCAAAAGACGTTTCAAAATATGGTTGTTTATTTGATGGTTGATCAAAACTTAGGGTTCTGGAACAACAATTGGACAATGTGGGTTCCAACCGTGGTCATTGCCATTTTCTTTGACGAGATAATCCAGTAACGGCTTGAAGTAGTCGATCAGAGGCTTAGCGTTCATTTTGAACTGGCCAGTGAGGACGTACAGGGCTTCTGGCCAAGGCTTCGATGACCCGAGACTCAACATTTCTCTGGAATTTGACGAAATTAACGAAAATAAATTATAACATTTCGCTGGAATTTGATGAAATTAACGAAAACAAATTTTGACATTTCACTAGAGTTTAATTTTGTATACATGAGATAAGGAAAATAAACTATATCAATGCATTGGCATTTTAGATTAAATACGCACTATTACAGAACAATAGTAGCATTTATCTAGCATAATTTTGCCAAAATTAAATTAAATTTACCATAAAATACTTTTTAAAAAATGTATTGAAAAAATAGTACAGCTACGCCAATTTTAAACAGTTAAGACAATATAATATATTACCGTAGTTTTGCACCTGCTCGTTTGTTGTTATATATATCACACCTGTGTAGTGGACCTCTGTATCGAGAAATGTCACAGAGAGCTTTGTAGAACTGGAACCGATGGATGATGCTTACAAAATAGCTGACGAATAGACATAAAATATAAAGTTGGTGGTAGTGTGTCAGTCATTCTGTAATCGCTATAGATTTTGGAACCACAAAAGTAAACATTAAACATTGCATTTTTTTTCTTTTTTTGGTTTGTATGGATTTCATCACATTCTGTACAATAAACATAGTAAATACAAAAGAGGGGAAGGGGGGATTTCACTTTAAAAAATTAAAATTTTAATTATAAAATATTTGTATTTTATGTACACAAAGGAAACAAGGGCTGGTGAAAAAAAATAAACAGATCACATGGTGTGTGTTCTCACTCTTTGTATAACCAGTAGAGTAGTCACACACGCACGAAAAATTCTTAGTTGTTTTACACAGATTTAATTTACGTCCGTACAATAGTGAATTACAAAAATAGATAAATAAGTAAACTGATGTTGGGGTGGGTATGATGTAGGTGGAACAGCTAAAAAGAATGTGGGGTTATCGTTTCTGTGGGCAGGGGGGGGGGATAGAGATGTCTGACAAGGCATGGATAGAGTGTTTTTATGTGTTTAAGGCAAGCCAAGCGTCAAAATCTGTGCTGTGTGATCTAACTGCAGCGGTGTTACTATTTATAGTGTGTTTTAGGGGGGGGGGGGAGGGTTTTGACGAAAGGGAGGGTGATAGGTTGGTGGGCTCAGTCGTGTTTATGTTTTTTGTTTGAATGTTTAGTACCGACAGGTTAGGGTCGGGTAGGCGTGTAGCTATCACGGGGTGTGTGGATACAGTGGAGTTTTAAAGGTAACAAATTGGTTAACAGTGTTCTCATAAAAGAGTTCAAATAAAGCCATACATGTCATTAAAGTTACAGATAATAAAATTATGTACGTTGTGGACATAGAAGATAATAGTAACATTGTGTCAAATAATGTTTTACAAAGTTTGTTTATAGGCCGTGTAAATAAAACAATTTCTTAAATGAGCAACAATCGGAACCTTAATGACGAATAATACATGATGCGAAACGATGGACATGGCATTGTGGGGGTTGGAATCAAGTTAATGTTGTTAGAAATTTATTTTGATAATACATCATCCTCAGAATTTACCATAGTATTTCAACACAGGGGTGGGGTCATGGGGACGATGGGAATGCAGTTATGGGGCAATATGATATTGGGATCATAAGGTTTAGGGGGGGGGGGGTGGGTGTGATGAAAGGGGATGTGTTGATTAGGATTGGGCGGGCCAGGTGGTTAATGCATAGTCATATGTTCTTTACGTTGTGTTGTTGCTAAGTATAGTATAGTATAGATTTTGAGATATGGATGTGAAGTGGATGTGGAAGTGGTTGTGGATGTGGTTGTGGATGTGGATGTAGATTTTGAGATATGGATGTGGATGTGGATTGTGGATGTGGTTATGGTTGTGGTTGTGGATGTGGATGTAGATTTTGAGATATATATATATATATATATATATATATATATATATATATATATATATATATATATATATTTGTGTGTGTGTTTGTGTGTGTGTGTAGTAAAAGTAAATAGGTAAATAACTAACCTCACGAGTGGTATATTGGCAGTCATGTGGTAGATATATCCAGGATCAAAGAATGGGCTTTTACTTGCCACAATTGGAGATATACCTTCGTATTTACACCTGGCGATGTATATTGTACATATAAGAATGATATTTAAAGCCTTATCCTCTTAGACTTTTACTTAATAACATACTAGCATTCACGACAGCTTTTTTGACATTTTATTTGACGTTGCTTTTAACACTTTATTCATTTATTATTCAAATGAGGTTCATGCTAAGAAAAGTATATATTTAAAAAAAAATCGATGTTTTTATTGGAAAAAAAAAATGTAATCTCTGATGTGACTTTTTTTTTAGATGTGAATGATGAAGTTGCCTATCAGGACTTGGCGGAACAAGGGAATGTGAAATAAAGTTCACCTCTTTCTGTGAACAAAGAATAAGAAGGGATAGTGTAGTCTAACGCATGCTCGGCCAAGATGTTTTTAAAAGACACAAACATTTTGTGAGACTTCTCTTTTAATGTGTGACTGGGTTTTTGTGAAGATGATTTGCGAAAGTGGAAATTTAAGGGGGAAAGATAAAAATCGTCAAACAAACGTATTTCCATTTATCGATTTCCATCGAAACCCATGGTGATTTAAGAATAACGGGTAGTCTAGTTTGTTTTAAACTTACCTATATTCCCACGATCTATGTAAACATTGAATGTATTCTCTCAATCTGTGTAAACATTACCTGTTTCCCTATTACCTGAATAAACAATACCTGTTTTCCCACTACCTGTGTAAATATTACCTGTTGCCCTCTACCTGTATAAACCTTACCTGTATTCCCACCACCTTCTGTTGTAGTTGTCTTTAGTTGTCTCCCCACTAAAGACCTCCCATCTCCACTGGTCAGCAAAATAGGTAATCGGGATCATAATAATCGTTTTCTGAGCCTGGGCCATCAAAAAATTGATATCGGACTCTAGAATTTTAATTTGTAATTTTAGTCATTAAAACGAATAAACGTGAAAGTTTAATAAATAATAAATTAAGGCTTATTGAAAGTGTGTCATAGCTTGCTGATTACATATGCTTTGACTTATAATTTTTGGTAGCTCGAATTAAAAAAAAAACTAGCTTTCTCTTCTCACCCTTGTCGTATACCACCTCCTTGATCAAGTTCACCGACTTTAAATGTGCCTGGGTATCTACAGACAACGATATTGTGTCGCCTATAGCCTCATGGAAGCCTTCAGTTAAATACAGAAAGGCATTATAATTCACATTGTTGCACGCTAAAGCGATAATAAAACAACTATAAAAAAATCATAAAAAACGTTTTAATAACAAGCTTTTATGTAATAATGCACTAAAAAGTAGAAAATAAATTATAGACTACTATTTAAATAACTAGAAAGAAAAGCAAGGGTCACTTTAGTATCTATTGGATACCTACACTAATGTTTAGGAAGACACCCACGCTTTTCTTTCTAGTTATTTAAATAGTAGTCTATAATTTATTTTCTACTTTTTAGTGCATTATTACATAAAAGCTTGTTATTAAAACGTTTTTTATGAATTTTTTTGTCAGTACTTTACATGTTTTATTTACAATAGAGTTACATGACTAAAAACCATTGCGCGTCTACTGAACATCACGTTCAGTAGGCGCGCAATGGTTTTTGAACGCAGCCATTGAACGTGATGGCGCAGCTATTGAAGGTGATGACGCGTGTGGTGTGGTTGGATAGACATGCCTACTAATTCGGTCCAAATTTTAAATAATTCATAAAAAATTAATTAGGCATCCAATTAAGTTAAATTTAGTTTCAGATTGCATTGTCTGCATGTCTTGACCCACGTGCCAAATGTGAATCGTATCGGTCAAGTAGAAGTTTCCGAATTTTCACTCCTGCGTTTCGGTCTAGACTGACGACTGACGAGGAAGTGAGTTAAATAAAAGCTTATAAAAAAATTCATAAAAAACGTTTTAATAACAAGCTCTTATGTAATAATGCACTAAAAAGTAGAAAATAAATTATAGACTACTATTTAAATAACTATAAAGAAAAGCGTGGATCACTTTAGTATCTATTGGATACCTTTACTAATGTTAAGGAAGACACCCACGCTTTTCTTTATAGTTATTTAAATAGTAGTCTATAATCTATTTTCTACTTTTTAGTGCATTATTACATAAAAGCTTGTTAATAAAATGTTTTTTATGAATTTCTTTTCAGTACTTTACATGTTTTATTTACAATAGAGTTACATGACTAAAAACCATTGCGCGACTACTGAACGTGATGGCGCAGCCATTGAACGTGATGGCGCAGCTATTGAACGTGATGACGCGTGTGGTGTGGTTGGATAGACATGCCTACTAATTCTGTCCAAATTTTAATTAATTCATTAAAAATTAAGTCAAATTTAATTTCAGATTGCATTGTCTTCATGTCTTGACCCACGTGCCAAGTGTGAATCGTATCGATCAAGTAGAAGTTTCCGAATGTTCACTCCGGCGTTTCGGTCTAGACAGACAGACAGACTGTCGAGGAAGTGAGTTAAATAAAAGCTTGTAAAAAATAGGCAAGTTCCCTTTTCCAAACCTGACGGTCTATGGGGAAAATGAAGTAGAGTCCACCTGTTTCTATGTCCTCGGCGAATGAAGGGATAGTGTGGTCAGCACTAAGCCCAACCGCCATTACTTTCATAACGTGAATTAGGTACCCATCAGAGCTCAATGCCGATCTACCGACTTAAACCCGCTAGGCCACTCCGTCACTTTATAGCAACAAGCTTTTAAACGCACTGAAAAAAATAAAATAAAACTAATATGCATTTTGAAAATAAAAGGTATGTTCGCTCACTAAATCTTTTATATATTTTTGCGACCAAATCTTTTATGAAAGAAAGCAGATTAATTTTATTTTATTTTTGAATTACGTAATACTATATAGTACTAGATAGTACTTAAAACAATGTAGTAAATAAAGTAAAGTGGTATCCTTTATTTATTTCATGTTTTTTTTTTTTACTAATTGCATAGTGTACTAATTTTCTTTAAACAATTATCGTTTAAAATTATAATGCAATAAAAAACGTTATAAGAACTAAATGTAGTTCTTTTTAAAATACATTCTGAAAAAAAAATTTAAAAAAAAACATTTTCAATCATATTGTGTACAACTTAAAAAGTATAGTGTTTTAACCATAATCACGTTAAAACAAGGTAATTAAAAAGTCTAGTGGCAATTTTAGCGCTATTTCCTTGTGTTATCTAAAAATAGCTCTTCGTAGCGTAAATTAAGAGCAGGGTTAGGAAAACCATTGGTTAGTTATTAAAACGTTTTTTAGTAATTTTTTTTCAGTATTTTACATGTTTTATTTACAATAGAGTTACATGACTAAAAACCATTGCGCGCCTAGCTACCGAACGTGATGTCGCAGACATTGAACGTGATGGCGCAGCTATTGAACGTGATGACGCGTGTAATGTGGTTGGATAAAAATGCCTACTAATTCGGTCCAAATTTTAATTAATTCAAAATTTTTTTTGTGACCAAACGAAAGGATATTTTTGAAAACTTTCTTCGGCAATATTGTTCTAAATTATGGCAGAAATCGATTGGTACATGTTTCAAGTCGCTAAGTGGTCTGGTTGCTGAGATATGGGCCAAAAACTGCATTTTTTCGAGGTTTTTTGGCTTTTCCGGGAAATCCATGAAAGAAACCCGGAATTTTTTTTCGCCTATGTTCATCCTCGTAACTTGCTTAACATAATTGCTTTGGAACTAGTCCTCGATATTGCTTCGTTGAGGAGGAGATACGACTTAAAGCAGCGGACACACATCCATTCATTCATACATTCATACATCCAGAAATGACGGGTTAATAAACGCAATTCTCCAGAATGGAAATTGCGCTAAAAATGCAACAACTAGAAACTTAAAGAAGTTATTTACAAAGTATTAAAGTTAAAAGATTATGTGCAGTGAACAGATCAAATGAAAAACATTAATCATTTGTTATTAAAACATTTAACCCAACACTGAAATCGTTTACGCCATTTATTTCAGCCAATCAGTGTAGTCAAACATTACTAAACTCACAAAAATAGACCGCGTTTCACCTAAGGGTGTTAAAATTAATGCCAAAACTAACCTGGGTTGGCTCCGTCTCTAAAGACAGATGGCAGATGCTTGTATTGAAGAAAGTATTGAATATGTCCCATTTCGTGGTGGACTGTACTAAAGTCGTATTTTGAAATCCCCGTGCACATTTTAATTCTAGGCAAGAAGCTCATACATAAATATGTGTACATTATTTAGTAAGGCTGGTCAGAATTTATCGTAACGAAATTTTTTATTTTAAAATACTCTTATTTGTTTGCAATAATGTTTTTGTTATTTAGTAATTCTACCTCCTCTCACCCCCCTCGCTACTTTTAATTATAGTCGGAATGCACTTAGAAATATTTTTTTAGTAATTCGAATTCTTTCTTAATGTCTGAGTATTTAAGTTTATTTTTATATGAAATTATTTATAATAGAGTTAAAACTGTTTGGTATATGTTTTACGATCTTATATATGTGCTGAAGACACATTTATTTCAATTATATAGCCTATGCATATATATATATATATATATATATATATATATATATATATATATATATATATATCTATATATATATATATAAATATAAATATATATATATATATATATATATATATATATATATATATATATATATATATATATATATGTTTATGTAAATGTATATATTTTAGCAGTTGATAGCATAATAGTTAATAGGATGATTAATTTTTATTTTTAATTATATTAATTCCTATGTGTACAATGTATTAATTAAACAATCATTATTAAAAGCATTAAATTAATATATTTTTTGTATAAACAGTTAATTCTAGCAACGAAAACTCGCCGAAAATCTTTGCCGTCCCCAAAATCCCAAGCACTGGGATAGCAATCTACTTGTCGTTCATCTGTAGGCGGTTCTAATAAGGATTTGTTCCAGAATATCCTCGGCATCGGATGCATTCCCATTGATCTGAAGAAATCATCGGCCATCTCGTATATCTTCAGGGCTGTGTAGTTCTACAGATTTACACACAAAGCATGTTAATATTACCAACTAAATTCTAAAGTGCACAAGCATGTACAGTTCCATTATTGAATGTGTATTTAGCGAACTAGAAACCTTCTAGCTGGAGAATCTTATTCTAATGCTTACATATGTAAGTAACAATACCACGTACTTTTTTGACCATTTCAGCTGAAATATCAAATGAAGTTTTACCGCTAATAGGAGGCCCAAATTCCACCGCAGTATCTACAAAGATCATTTATATGAAAACACAATATTTAAATGTTTACAATGCATTTCATGCAAGTTTATTATATCAAAGACAAATCATTGTGCAGGAGTGTATATTGTCTAGCCCTATTACGCTATTTCAGAAAACAGTAAACGCTCTCTCCCCAACCCATCTCAATTCAAGCTCGCAAAACGTGCTCAAAGTTGCCCTCCATTGTAATAGAATTTACACCCCTAAATAATAGACATGCTTGAACGTTTTCTTCTTTGCATTAGAGTCGCTCGCACTCAGTGCCCGCGCCAGGTTATTTAGCACCCTAGGCAAAACTTATTAAAAGCGCCCCCCACCCCGCAATTGTTTTCGTGCCCACATCCCGGCGCCCGAGGACAAACTTTCGATTTGCACACCCCCCCCCTCAAACTTTCGATTTGCACCCCCCCCCCTAAAACTTTCGATGTACACACCACCCCCTCAAACTTTCAATTTGTTTTTCCAACCCATTTTGGCGCCCCCCTACGGAGAGCGCCCTATGCAACCGCCTTATAGGTAGCGCCGGCCCTGCTCGCACTTACAATACAGGTTTTCTGGAACATGACCAGAGTCAGGAAAGCTGACGTTCACGTGGATTGCCTTTAGCTTACGTCTGACATATGCGTGGAAATGTTTGTACAAAGGTTGGACCTGCTCGTACAAAGCTCGAATACTGTCTTTAAAGTTGGCGTCTTCATAGACCGACCTCCAGTAGGCGCCGTAGTCAGGGTAACCTAGCAGGCGAAATTATATAAAATAATGGTGATGTCGATGATGATATATAAAAAAATGATTCATCGATGTCAAAATTAAAATGTATTCCATCAATATACGTAAATATTTTAGACGGTTTTATTTAGTTTGAATCATATGTCCCAAATATGTCTTTTGTTGATTGAAATTTGGGACGGAAATTTCAACCAATTTTACCAAATCGATTCTTTTGAACTTGAAAATTAGAGTCAAGATCCGATGACAATGCAAATTAATATAACTTTTTACTTACTTCATGTTTGACTACTTTTTTAAAATAATGAAGGATTACTATTTTATTAATAATTTTCCGTTCTATAATGGGTTGTGCTTCTTTTGGTTAGCGATCCGTTTTAGCTACGTGATTCAATTATATCAAATTTAATGTTTTAAAGCTTGTATTAATTTAATAAGCTTTTATTAATTTTTTTGACAAATGTTTTAATTTAAATAAATGTATAGGTGAAGTCTTAATTTTTTAAAATAAATCTTAATTCTACCCAAAAATCGAATGGCGTCGTTGCTAAGTGAAACATATTCAGAATACAATTTTTTCAATTTGGCACCAGGCGAGTCTGTGCTGCCCTTTTCTGAAGCAGAAAAAAAAATGAAAATTGATAAATATCTTAAAGAGGTATAGACGGTGTTATATTACTTAACAATATTCTCTTTTTGAGACACTTAAATATATTAATTAAAGTTAAGTATTGGAAGTATTTTGAACAGCTCGTTTAAGTAAAATTGCATATTTTAATCAGATTTTCCACAATGAAAACATTAGTTTCATACATCAAACTGTATAAAAGCGACCAATTAAAATGTATTTACTATTCTAATACTGATTTTTATTTAATCTAAAGGGGATCCATTTATTCTGTATCTGTATCTGTATCTGTATCTGTATCTGTATCTGTATCTGTATCTGTATCTGTATCTGTATCTGTATCTGTATCTGTATCTGTATCTGTATCTGTATCTGTATCTGTATCTGTATCTGTATCTGTATCTGTATCTGTATCTGTATCTGTATCTGTATCTGTATCTGTATCTGTATCTGTATCTGTATCTGTATCTGTACCTGTACCTGTATCTGTACCTGTACCTGTACCTGTACCTGTACCTGTACCTGTACCTGTACCTGTACCTGTACCTGTACCTGTACCTGTACCTGTACCTGTACCTGTACCTGTACCTGTACCTGTACCTGTACCTGTACCTGTACCTGTACCTGTACCTGTACCTGTACCTGTACCTGTACCTGTACCTGTACCTGTACCTGTACCTGTACCTGTACCTGTACCTGTACCTGTACCTGTACCTGTACCTGTACCTGTACCTGTACCTGTACCTGTACCTGTACCTGTACCTGTACCTGTACCTGTACCTGTACCTGTACCTGTACCTGTACCTGTACCTGTACCTGTACCTGTACCTGTACCTGTACCTGTACCTGTACCTGTACCTGTACCTGTACCTGTACCTGTACCCTAACTCTAACCTAGTCATAAGGGGGGGGGGATAATGTCCTACTGGGCGGGGGGTAATAGACAGGCGCTGGTATATCCAAACTATTGTCTTCTACTTCCACCACTAGTCATTTGAGCATTGAATAAAATACCTAACAATGTATCTCCCAAAAAGTGTTTAAAAGGGAATGTTCCTCATAAATGGACGTTTGTAAACTAGGTTATTTAAGGTTGATATTTTTGTGGTCGTTATAAATGGATCCCTAACAGTAATCCCAAAATCCCTATCTAGTAGTTTCTTAGGTCAAAACGTATTTCTAAAATGTAATACATGTACAGGTTTTTATACCCGCGGTACCAATGTATCGGTCAGAGTTATAAATCTCGAGACACCGATAAATCGGTATTAGACACCTTATCCAAAACGGTTGTCCTTACGTAAAACTGCGAGACTGAAAAAGTACGTAACTGGTATATTGTTCGACTTCGGGTAAGATCCTATAATGCCTACGTCCATGAAGCAATTTTTTAAAATTTATTTATGTATTAAAATTTACGACGGAAAGACAATTTTAAATTCCAAAACCGTTATTCTACCGATGTCTACATCTTTCTAGATCTAAGAGAAGGGTTACTCTTCTCTACACTTTCGACCCCAAAACTAAGTCAAAATATTGGCGATAAATCATGTAGAAATAAATTTCAAAATAGTAATAACAATTTTAAAAAATTTGGTTGTTATATTCGTAGTTATTTTTTAAATTGAGAGTCTGTTTTGTGTATATTTAACTCAGGAGCTAAGGGGCATGTGGATTTTAGGTTCAGGATCTAAGGGTTCAAAGGTTAAAAATAACGTATTTTTGTCAATGTCAATCGTAAAACATAACCTGGCATGACGTAATTTGGTGCTGTGACTTGGATGTGGATAGCGTGCATTTTGCTCAGTACTTCTTGCAGCTGAGACAATAAGAAAACAAACTGATGAAAAGTGTATGGAAAATAAAAATAAAACGAACACATGAAGCTGTAAATCTTTATTTGAAATAAAAACAAGATATGCACAACCGTCAAAAACGATTTATTTAATTAAGTTAAAAAAAAAAACAAACATGTGACATGTCGAAATTAAAAAAAAAACGAATTTCAACATTCGCAGTAATACAGAACGAAATAAAGAATTGAAAAATCTGCAACCCTAACCAAACTTTGTCCGACAGAGAAAGGATATATGGTCTTAACCCCTTCATCTGAATAACAAGTTAGTTTGGTATGAAAGGAAATTATGATATAACCTTGACTGAACTCACCCTGGCCAGTTTCGTCTTGTTTTGTTGTGCGTCGGTATCTATGTCCATAATCTTGGAGAACTGGCGTCTTTGATATGAATTCAAGAGAGTCAGATTGAATCGTGACGCATTTTTATATGCTTCCTGCCTAAATCTGGAACATTTCATTTTCTGGTCCATCTAGATAAGATAATAAACGTTATGTAAAAGTGAATTGATTTAATAGAAACTTTAGGAATTTATATTAACGCAATAAAAACATTTTAAATTTTGTATGGTTAAAAGCGTTAGAGCATGAATATATATATATATTTAATTCCATCGAGCCCCTCAATGGAAAAATATAGAAAATGATACAAAATTTAAATTTGTACAACATGTGATTATTCTTTATACAAAGAAAACTAATTTAGGATGCATTTTGGAACAAAATTAATGATAAAAATTATTCTATTTAACATAGTTTTTGTTTGTAATTACTTAATGAAGACACATTATCTATTAATACATTGTCGTTCGACCTTCTTTTTTTACTTTTATCAAATGCATTTTAACTTTAAAAGTGCTTTAAATTATTAGTGTTTAAACTACGTGTTTCCTATTTCAAAAATCAAATTTTTAATCGATTTACCAAGGTATTTAATTATCTTTCAGTAACAGCTTGTAGTGATAACTTAACTTACGACTTAAATATAATGTTATCCATTATGTTAGTGTTTAAATGTTTTAGCTTACAATCCACTTTTGATTATTATTTATAACGCTGTATCATTTAAATTAAAATCAACTTTTTGTTATATGGCGTTGGATCGTTTAAACTATCATTTTGTATTATTTTATGAAATGTTAATTTTTTAGATTACCGTCAACTGTTTTTATTGCTGTAGGATCGCTTAGCTTATCATTTTGTTATATTATGAAATCTTATTTGTTTAGATTACCATCAACTTTTCGTTATAATCTGTAATGTTGGTTTTGTGGTTCCATTCAGCCAATTGACAAGCTGATTTTAATTTCTGGATTTCGTGATCATAATTCTGTAGGAAGTCATTTGCGGCGGGGTTGGCAATTTGACAACCCCAACAGACTACGCCACACGTCAATATCAGAAATCTCAGCATGCTGTTTTTCCTGTAAATACAGTAAAAACTCCAAAACATTTTAAATTCACAGCGGTGAGGTTATATTAGTGTCGTTGTAAATGTTTTGACAATGGACTCACATTTTCAGTTGAACAGAATGTAACTTTCTCCCACCGTCAAAGGCAATTTTTTTTTTCTAAAACTTCGATTTACTTCCCAGTCTAAATTATTAAAATTGATCAGTGTAATATGTACTTACGTTACATTTTTTGTCAAAATAAATTAAAACAAGTGTAAATCATCTATGTATATTTGGGACATGAAAAAAGTACAAATGTACTAAAATTTCCTATAAATGTTGAAACATTCAATATATTTTAACACCATTTTAAAAACCTTGAACTCATATCTCTCAAAACTATAAAATTAAAAATGACTAGGTGTAGTAAACTGCAAACCACCAAGCCTCCTCAGGGCCAAAGACAAGACAGAGAAAATATGTATGCAAATGTGCAAGCAAAATGCAAATGTGAATGACATTCAAATTTTCCACGTTGTGCTAACCAGAGGCGTAGTGAGGGGGGGGGGGGAGCGGGGGGGGGGGGGGAGTGGACCGCACCGGGTGACACCATTTAGGGTGGTGACACCAAGGCAAAAAATAGCAAAATATATATAGAAAAACTTGAGGGGGGGGATGCAAATCGAAAGTTTGAGGGAGGGTGCAAATAGAAAGTTTGAGGGAGGGTGAAAATCGAAAGTTTGAGGGGGGGGGGGTGCAAATCGAAAACTTGAGGGAGGGGGTGCAAATCGGAAATTTGTCCCCGGGAAGGGTCGCTACGCCTCTGGGGGGTGACACCATTAAGGGCCGCACCGGGTGACACCCGACCTCGCTACGCCACTGTTGCTAACTATATTAGTGGTCGAAGTGGCTGCGTATCATTCAGCTTGTTTTGTGGCTTGGGTTACATTCAGTTAGGCTCAGAGTTTCTTTTATTTGTTGTTGTTGCTATTTTTCTTTATCGTATATGAAGTATAGAGGAAGTATTGTAATCGTGCAAAAAATCGAAATTGAGATTTTCACAAATCTCCACTGTTTTAAATATATATACTTCGCTCTGATGTAAAATAAATTGAAATTAATACTATGAAGAAATAAGAAAAAACACAATGTAGGCCAACAAAACAAAACAAAACAATATACCACTCCAAAAAAATACACAATATAAATATAACCAAAAACAATGAACGCAACCCTTACCCTAACCCTAACCCTAAGCCTACATATAACTAAAATATTTGTCTTGAAGTTCAGATCATTCATTTTTTAATTAGCTACTGTTTTTTTGTGTTTTTAAAGATCATATTTTTAACATAATGATAAGGTATGGATGAGATCACTGTATTGATCTCACGTCTCTTTACTGGTCATTGCACTACCAATATTTTCAGAGATATACCTGTTTCAAAAAGCTATGATTCTCGCAGCATGGTACTTTGGTACCTCATTACGCGTTGTGGGTTTGGGGTGAGGGGGGGGGGGGGGGGCTCAACATCATTCACCACTGTCCGGTTACTTTAGGTCAATTATCCTACCCAGAGTATACCTAGTTGTGGCATTAATGTCGATATAAACAGTTATGGCCTACCCGGTTCTAGTGGTGAGGTGGGGGGGGGGGGGGGGTTTAACCAACTCAGAGTGCACATAGCGTCAGTTTTTAAGTGACTTTTCCAAACATACATATATAATTATACATAACATATATACTGATTCAGAAATAAATTAAAATATGTAACAGTGGTATTATGACCGTACAACTTTTACAGAGGCTTGCGCCACTGGTCGGAGAAACATAGTATTGCAATTTTACCCGTATGTCTGTGTGTATGTAAGTTTGTAAGTATGTCTGTGAAAATAAATTTGATTAATGTTTAAGATACGATAATAACATTTTATATATAAGTATTGAGTACTGTTATCCATCCATCTATCCATCCATCCATCCCATCCATCCCATCCATCCTATCCCATCCATCCCATCCATCCCATCCATCCCATCCATCCATCCATCCATCCATCCATCCATCCATCCATCCATCCATCCATCCATCCATCCATCCATCCATCCATCCATCCATCCATCCATCCATCCATCCATCCATCCATCCATCCATCCATCCATCCATCCATCCATCCATCCATCCATCCATCCATCCATCCATCCATCCATCCATCCATCCATCCATCCATCCATCCATCCGTCCATCCATCCATCCATCCATCCGTCCATCCATCCATCCATCCGTCCATCTATCCATCCATCCATCCGTCCATCTATCCATCCATCCGTCCATCCGTCCATCCGTCCATCCGTCCATCCGTCCATCCGTCCGTCCGTCCATCCGTCAATCCGTCCATCCGTCCATCCGTCCATCCGTCCATCCGTCCATCCATCCATCCGTCCATCCGTCCATCCATCCATCCGTCCATCCGTCCATCCATCCATCCATCCATCCATCCATCCGTCCATCTATCCATCCATCCGTCCATCCATCCATCTATCCATCCATCCATCCATCCATCCATCCATCCATCCATCCATCCATCCATCCATCCATCCATCCATCCATCCGTCCATCCGTCCATCCGTCCATTCGTCCATCCGTCCATCCGTCCATCCATCCATCCATCCATCCATCCATCCATCCATCCATCCATCCATCCATCCATCCATCCATCCATCCATCCATCCATCCATCCATCCATCCATCCATCCATCCATCCATCCATCCATCCATCCATCCATCCATCCATCCATCCATCCATCCATCCATCCATCTCATCCAGTACATATAAAGGACGCATTGGCCGGCCAATTCGCGCATTGGCCAATATCGCCTCCCATTGAACGGTCGAAGTCCAAAACTTTACTTGATTTCGGCCTTTCGCCAGCCAGTCCATGGACTGGCCAAGATGGACCGGCGAAAGTGCTAATTAGAAGATCATGAGCAGATTTAGGGCTTTTATACCGTAAGTATCACGAAATTAAGTCTTTATTGATTACCAATTAAAGTAAATGACAGAAACATTCAAATTATTTTATTGTACTATTTTCTCACTTGTTACAACAGATATAACTTTCATGGCTTTTAGAACTATATAGTAGCTTGATATTTTCACACTTGCAGCGATTTTTTGTGCATTTGGTTGTTCAATAGCAGCAAATGTAGCCTTGGCCGCCGGTCAGTGATTGTGAAGATGCGATGGTTCGTAGTGATTTTTCCTCAGTGCCAACGAACGACATTGAGAGCAGTTTTTCGTTAAGAATTGAAAACTCACTTCAAGCATATAGTTGTTTTAAAACACCATTTTCCGTTCCTAGCTTGTAGAAAGCGCATTAGACGCTCATTACAACTGCAATGACGCTTCGGGGATCACCGCGACCTCTGTCAACATCTGGTATACGGATGCGTACATTATTTCCCACTTCAACTTGTTTAAAATGTGTATCTTATTTCTTTTAGCGTCTTGGCACCTTGAGTTTGCAAGCTAGTATGAGATGCTGACCTGTTGTCAATGATTTCTTGTTTATTGTGACTTAATCTGCAAGTAATGTTCCCTCCGTAACCTTCGTCTGCTTCATTGGCGTTTCCGCATATTGCATGGACATCGCTGCCACAGGATCCACAAGAATGGGCTTCACTACAATGCATAATCTATTGGCCATATTATTGTCACGCAACTGCCGGCATTTGTGTTAGCTGAGGATGTCGTTGCATTAATGGCAACCTCCATTTCTTGTTCAATGTTCTCAAGATCTCAGTAACTAAATTATAGAGAGCCTCTCTCGGTTTATTTGAAGTTTTTTGTTTTGTATCCGTATGGCTATTGTTGGATTCCTTGATCAAAAGAACGGTTTTCAAGGGCCTAAATCAAGTCAAGTTTCGGACTTTGACCGGTCAATGGGAGGCGATATATGCCAATGCGCTTATATATATATATATATATATATATATATATATATATATATATATATATGTATATATATATATATATATCTTTTTTCAACAATCATGGTGTATTAAGGGAAATCTAAAGCGAAATTGGAATTATTGGCAAATATAAACTAATGTATACAGCCTCTAACCAAAAACCGAATTACATAATATTGTTAAAAAAACTTACATCTCCCTTGAGCTTGGTCAAATTTGTAACGACAGTTCAAGTCTTTACTTCTACGAATTAGAAAACTGGCTTTACGGCGTTGTTAACTCTGTATGAAATCTTTATTGCAGCCAAGCACAAAATGGACAGCCGCTGTTAATGCTGAACCCACGTGAGATTAATTGCTGCTTGGTGCAGTGGTTCTAATATTTTTAAAATACCGAGTGCATTTCTAATCGAGTATTAATATTGGTAAAAAATGTTTTCAAAAATATCGGATGCACAACTTTGTCACAATCAATCCTCAGTCAAACACACTGTATCTTTGTTGTAGCTACAAGATGCATAACGTAGAAAGCATGATAGGTATACTGTAAATGTGCCATCCATAAATGACGTCACCTTTTTTTGACGATTTTTATCTCCTTCTCCCCTCAGTCACATGATGTCACAAAAAGCCAACCCCCCTCCCATAAAATGACGTCACACTTCAGCCTACAACACCCCCCCCCCCTCAACATTGCTTGTGAATTTTTCTTAAAACATCGATATTTTTCCAAAATCTTGTCACAACTCTGACAACTTAGAGTATTTTGATCAATTCCTATTACAATTTATTAAAACCGTTTTCTAAAATGCGAAATAAGGGCTAAAACTCGTTTTCTAACATTGCTCTTTTTATAATGCAAAAGTGTGACATCACACCATCTGAGCGCCACCCCCCCCCCCCCCCCCCCCCCCCCCCGATCACACACCTTCACAAAATTACGGATCCACCTCCCCCTACGAGTGTGAAGTCATTTATGGACGACGTCAAAGTTTGAACCTTACAGTTCATGGTGCAGGTGGGATAGTGTCCTAGGCAAATGAAGAGACAGTGTGGTCAGTTCAAAGTATGGTTGAGCATGTTTATCGATTGTTAATGGGTTACGTTATGGTAATCGTTTCATAACTAATGCAGTGTGACATTCGAATTTTCAAAGGACGATTAATTTGCGCCAGATTGTTTTAAAATATTTTGGACAATGGCAATGGTTAAGGCAGTGGCGTAGCGAGGTCGGGTGTCACCCGGTGCGGCACTTAATGGTGTCACCCCCGCCCCCCAGAGGCGTAGCGAATCTTCCCGGGGACAAACTTTCAATTTTCGATTTGCACCCCCCCCCCCTCGAACTTTTGATTTGCACCCCCCTCGTACTTTCTCGATTTGCACCCCTCCCCCTCAAATTTTTATCTATGTATTTTACTATTTTTTGCCTTGGTGTCACCCCCCTAAATGGTGTCACCCGGTGCGGTCCGCACCCCCCGCCCCCCCCCCCCCCCCTCGCTACGCCTCTGGATTAAGGGGAAAGAGTTCATATGCATTATATGTGATTGTGAATAACGGGCAGTTTGGTGTAGATGTGGATGTGCATGAAGTGCAAGATAATGCTGATGACGCGCAGTGCTGTGTTATTATGAGTGGCGTGTTCTGTGTTGTTGATGTGAACAGACGCGCAGCGACCCCTCACGGCACCCGGGGCGAACTTAAGTTTAACTATTATCAACAGAATACATTATAGAAATGTATACAAAATTAAATTTATACAAATTTAATATATTGTAGTCAGTAAATCTGGGTCACCAGAATACTGCTTTATTAGCCCCCCCCCCCCCCACCCCCGCCCCTTTAATTCGTAATTGTCTGGGAATGTTTTCGTTTGTATTTGTGTTTAATTGCAAGTGTGTCTAAGTGCGTAGGTACAAGAATGCAGTGTGTGTGTGTGTGTGTGTTTGAATTTGCTCTTGAATCTGTTGAATCAGGTATGTATTTGTGTTTAATTGCAAGTGTGTCTGAGTGCGTAGGTACAAGAATGCAGTGTATGTGTGTTTGTGTGTGTGTGTGTGTGTTTGAATTTGCTCGTGAATCAGCTGAATCAGGTATGAATATTTTATTCGCCAGAAAAATGTTTGCGTCTGTATTTAATCAAACAGGGATTAGACAGGAAACTCATTGTGTTAAAATATTGCTCAATCTCTATAAGACTATAAATCAAATTGCTTTAATTAGACATGGATGCAGGTTATTTCATTTATATCACTTACTGGATTCAAAGGGAACACCTTAACATAGCGTTGTTTCTAACAATAAAGTGGTTTATATCAGAGGCGTAGCAAGGGAGGGGTGGAGGGTGCGGACCGATCCAGGTGGCACCATTTAGGGGGGTGACACCAAGCTGAAAAATTGCACAATGAACAGAAGAAAAATGCCTTTTTTTGCCAGTTCTATCAATGATTAAATTAAGTTAACTAGTCTTTTAAGTACAAATCGACAATTATTACAAGATGGTGTGAGAGGGGGGGGGGGGAGATGACACCATGACGTAAACGTGGTAACTATAAAGACTGTTTTACTAGCAGACTATAGATAAACATCATTACTACTAAGTCTGCAATGATTAAAGCTTATACACATACATGTAGCCGTATTTGGCATATGTTTAAATTATATGTCTATGTAGGACGACACTCACACACACATATATATATATATATATATATATATATATATATATATATATATATATATATATATATATATATATATAATGTTTCTTGGGGAAGTGACCAGGTGACACCCGACCTAGCGACGCCACTGGTTTATATTTAATGCTCACTTGCTCATTAGCAATGTAGCTATAAGCCAACCATAGTTAAGTTATTAAAACATATAGACATTTTATAATAACATTGCACAGGAATTTACTAATAACTAGACCACCCGTTATCTAGTTAGATAACTGTGGGATTCGGGGGTCATCCATAAATGAGATCACATCTCTCACTTATCATCACAAAATAACCAGACCCCACATTCAAAGAGACGCCACACCTCAGACCTTTTTGTCTTTTTATAAACACCGATTTCGGCTGAGCATGGTTTTATTACAACAAATGGACGTTTTACTGATATTGGGCATCTGAGAAAACAAATATTATTTTTAAAGATTTACAAGCAACACTAATTATTACATAACTCATAAATCCCTTGTTTAATATTTTACTGAATTCTTAGATGGTTTGGTCTTTATTTACTTGATAACCTATAGGTATAGCAGTCATATATTATGGCATTTGTTAGAATAGCTATAACGGCCGTCTACTTGGTCACTTGATAGAATAGCTATAACAGCCGTCTACTTGGACACTTGATAGAATAGCTGTAACAGCCGTCCACTAATCCTACAGTGAACCTAGCTGTAAAGACCGTCCATTGTGGCACTTTTTAAACTAGAAATATCGGCCGTCTACTACGTCACTGTTAAAACTAGCAACGACGACCATCTACTACTTCACCAGTGACCTGGCTATCATGGCTGTCCACTACTTCACATTATAAATTACCTACGTTATTTTCAAATTACTGTTAATAAATCTTCTATGTAACAAGTAATATAGGATATAACATTGAATCGTATAGCTTACAATTAATCCACACATTTAATTAAACTACCGAGAAATTAATTAAAATTCCACAGCGAGAACATTTCGAAATGAGCAATTGTTACAAAGGTCTAGCCGGTCGATAAATGATACGTGTATCTTTTTAATGTAAGCTTGACATACATGGGCGGATCCAAATGATAAGTAAATGGGTGGCTTAGTGAAAAACCGTCCCCATGGGCTAGCCCGTTTTGACCCATACAGACAGACAGTGTAAGCAAGTTAAATTTTACGTGGATTATCACATGGACTCTGTACCCCCTACCCTTTTGTCGAACCAGTACTCACGGCTTAACAAAAGTTGACTATGTCATAATCCTCCCCCCCCCTATCCTCCATGTGTCTGGAAATCCGCAATAGATTACTCCTAACGTATTATATTATAATTATCGTTAGTTTAAAATCGCTTCTTTTTTTAAGAATTTTATAGACCACCCATCACCCGGTATTCTTTTGAAAGCGGTTAATCGACGATGCCATAACCACCAAACCCTAGTCCATTCTCTTCCCACACGCACATGTATACAAATATACACGCAAGCTGTTACATACACGGCACACACACGCACACACACACATACTAACGAATCCCGGTCCTAGGACCTTTGACCACAGGTGCTTTGACCATAGGGGCTTTGACCATAGGGGGTTTGACCACAGCGGGGCTTTGACCATAGCGGTGCTTTGACCATAGGGGGTTTGATCATAGGGGGTTTGACCACATGCGTTTTCTCAGCAGAGGGTCTTTGATCACAGGTGGTCTATCAACTGGTGTTTGATCACAAGCGCTGCGTCCGTCTTTGATCATAGGTGTTTTGTCCACATAGGGTCTTTGATCTCAGGTGTTTTGTCCAAGCGATACAAGCTGCTGCACGAAAAAGTACAACGTGCTGTCCAGACATATATATATATATATATATATATATATATATATATATATATATATATATATATATATATATATATATATATATATATATGTGTGTGTGTGTGTGTGTGTGTGTGTGTGTGTGTGTGTGTGTGTGTGTGTGTGTGTGTGTGTATGTATGTATGTATTAGCCGTACCGGCAAGGCCCTGCACTGGCATTTACAGTAAAAATTATTTGTAAAGGGCTTGATCTATGTACTGATTAACCATCATATACCCTGCAATTCCCTGCTGTTTGGGTATTTATATTATTTTCAATTAAAAGTCTCTATGTAAATCTGGACCTGTAGAAAATACAAAAGCAAATACAAACGCACAGGTAAAAGAAAAAAAAACTTAAACAGAAACGAAAACTAAAACATAAGTTAACACATAAACGCAAAAATAAAAATAAACGCAAACGGAAACATAAACATAAACATGTGCGACAACATAATCATCACGTTCAATAGGTGCACAACGGTTTTTAGTCAAGCTACAATATTAATTAAAAACATTTAAAGTACTGAAAAAAAATTCATAAAAAATGTTTTAATATCAAAAGCTTTTATATAAGAATGCACTAAAAAGTAGAAAATAAATACATTTCTTATAAATAGTACACTACTATTTATATAATTATAAAGAAAACCGCGGGTAGCTTCCTAAATATTAGTAAAAAATAATATAATATAGTGACCCACGGTTATTTTATAGTTATATAAATATATATATATATATATATTTAAAAACATTTATTTATTTTCTACTTTTTAGTGCATTATTACATAAAAGCTTGTTATTAAATTTTTATATTTTTTTTTATAATTATAAAAGCCTTTACTTTGATTATATCATGAAAGTTAAAATGGACTATCTGACTCTACGCATGTATGTAAGTATGTAAGATCTAAGTGTCGAGTATATGTTGATTAAAAAAACACACAAATTACTTTTCTTTACCGATAGTTTTTTTAGAGGCCAGTGCAAGACCTGGCCGGGAAGGCTAGCTATATATATATATTATATATATATATATATTATATATATATATATATATATATATATATATATAGAGAGAGAGAGAGAGAGAGAGAGAGAGAGAGAGAGAGAGCGAGAGAGAGAAAGAGAGAGAGAATATATATATATATATATATATATATATATATATATATATATATATATATATATATATATATATATATATATATATATATATATATATATATATGTATATATATATATATATATATATATATATATATATATATATATATATATATATATATATAGAGAGAGAGAGAGAGAGAGAGAGAGAGACACAACAAATAACTGTATAATTCAACAAGTAGGCCTACATTTAATAAATTCAAAGTCGCTACTTAAATCGTTCATCTTTTGATAAGTTTAATCAAGCACAACTTGAACTATAATAAAGTAGTTAATTTTTATTAAGATGTAATAGTTATTTTAAAAAACCATCCACCAAGAGCTGTTTATTTTTTTTTTAATTCCCAAAAATGTATCTCTTTTCTGCATGGTGTGTTGAAAATATAATTTTACCACCAAATACAAAAAAAATATGGAAACATGGAGTAATGATCTCATCTTAAATTTGTGTTGAATGTTATAAAGGTTTACATTTGGAAAAAAGTTTTTAGTCTTATATTTATATACAAAATTAATATAAAGGATTGTTTATATACTATACTTTAAAAATAATAATAACTTCTACTATTAGATAATATATATATATATATATATATATATATATATATATATATATATATATATATATATACATAATTTCTTTCATTCTTTTTATATCTGATTAACCAGCCACAGTAGTTAACATTAAAGAAAAATAATTCGCTTGATAAAAATAGTGTTAAAAATTGTATCTCGTTTAGTCAGAATAAAAAAAAACTGGGCATTATGGGTCCCGTCCGTAGTTTTTACTAATTTCTTTATCCAGATACTACTCAAAGCTTCCATGTATTGTGTTGTAAAATGATTTTATAATTAGCCATCATAATCATTATTATTGAAATACCATTGCTAAAGCAGCCAAAAAAATTATTGATACAAAAGAAACAAACAAAAGCAAAAGACGTTTCAAAATATGATTATCCATTTGATTATTGATTAACAATTAGGTTTCTGGAACAACACTTGGACATTGTTGCTTCCAACCGTAGTCGTTGCCATTTTCTTTGACCAAATAATCCAGTAACGGCTTGAAGTAGTCGATCAGGGGCTTAGCGTCCATTTTGTACTGGCCAGTGAGGACGTACATGGCTTCTGGCCAAGGCTTTGATGACCCAAGTCTCAACATTTCGCTGGAATTTGATGAAATTAACGAAAACAAATTATAACATTTCGCTGGAATTTAATGTCGTATTCATGAGATAAAGGAAGATAAACTATAAAAATTCATTGGAATTTTAGATTAAATACGCACTGTTACAGTAAAATAGTAGAATTTATCATTCATAATTTTGCAACAAGTAAATTAAATTTACTATAAAATACTTTAAATAAAAAACTTTATTGTAAAAATAGTTCACCTGCGCCATTTTTAAACATTTAAGACAAAATCATATTATATTACCTTAGTTTTGCACCTGCTTGTTTGCTTTTATATATATCACACCTGTGTAGTTGACCCGTGTATCCAGAAATGTCACAGAGAGCTTTGTAGAACTGGAACTTAAGGATAACGCCTACAAAATGGCTGACGAATAGACAAAAAATGTTAAAAAAGTAAAACATAATATAATATAAGATGTAGGTGTAGGTGTAGGTGTAGGTGTAGGTGTAGGTGTAGATGTAGGTGTAGGTGTAGGTGTAGGTGTAGGTGTAGGTGTAGGTGTAGGTGTAGGTGTAGGTGTAGGTGTAGGTGTAGGTGTAGGTGTAGGTGTAGGTGTAGGTGTAGGTGTAGGTGTAGGTGTAGGTGTAGGTGTAGGTGTAGGTGTAGGTGTAGGTGTAGGTGTAGGTGTAGGTGTAGGTGTAGGTGTAGGTGTAGGTGTAGGTGTAGGTGTAGGTGTAGGTGTAGGTGTAGACGTAGGCGTAGGCGTAGGCGTAGGCGTAGGCGTAGTCGTAGGCGTAGGCGTAGGTGTAGGTGTAGGTGTAGGTGTAGGTGTAGGTGTAGGTGTAGGTGTAGGTGTAGGTGTAGGTGTAGGTGTAGGTGTAGGTGTAGGTGTAGGTGTAGGTGTAGGTGTAGGTGTAGGTGTAGGTGTAGGTGTAGGTGTAGGTGTAGGTGTAGGTGTAGGCGCAGGGCAGGCGCAGGCGTAGATGTAGATGTAGATGTAGATGTAGATATAGATGTAGATGTAGATGTAGATGTAGATGTAGATGTAGATGTAGATGTAGATGTAGATGTAGATGTAGATGTAGATGTAGATGTAGATGTAGATGTAGATGTAGATGTAGATGTAGATGTAGATGTAGATGTAGATGTAGATGTAGATGTAGATGTAGATGTAGATGTAGATGTAGATGTAGATGTAGATGTAGATGTAGATGTAGATGTAGATGTAGATGTAGATGTAGATGTAGATGTCGATCTCGATGTCGATGTCGATGTCGATGTCGATGTCGATGTCGATGTCGATGTAGATGTAGATGTAGATGTAGATGTAGATGTAGATGTAGATGTAGATGTAGATGTTTTTGTAGATGTAGATGTAGATGTAGATGTAGATGTAGATGTAGATGTAGATGTAGATGTAGATGTAGATGTAGATGTAGATGTAGATGTAGATGTAGATGTAGATGTAGATGTAGATGTAGATGTAGATGTAGATGTCGATGTAGATGTAGATGTAGATGTAGATGTAGATGTAGATGTAGATGTAGATGTAGATGTAGATGTAGATGTAGATGTAGATGTAGATGTAGATGTAGATGTAGATGTAGATGTAGATGTAGATGTAGATGTAGATGTAGATGTAGATGTAGATGTAGATGTAGATGTAGATGTAGATGTAGATGTAGATGTAGATGTAGATGTAGATGTAGATGTAGATGTAGATGTAGATGTAGATGTAGATGTAGATGTAGATGTAGATGTAGATGTAGATGTAGATGTAGATGTAGATGTAGATGTAGATGTAGATGTAGATGTAGATGTAGATGTAGATGTAGATGTCGATGTCGATGTCGATGTCGATGTCGATGTCGATGTCGATGTCGATGTAGATGTAGATGTAGATGTAGATGTAGATGTAGATGTAGATGTAGATGTAGATGTAGATGTAGGCCTAGATGTAGATGTAGATGTAGATGTAGATGTAGATGTAGATGTAGATGTAGATGTAGATGTAGATGTAGATGTAGATGTAGATGTAGATGTAGATGTAGATGTAGATGTCGATCTCGATGTCGATGTCGATGTCGATGTCGATGTAGATGTAGATGTAGATGTAGATGTAGATGTAGATGTAGATGTAGATGTAGATGTCGATGTCGATGTCGATGTCGATGTAGATGTAGATGTAGATGTAGATGTAGATGTAGATGTAGATGTAGATGTTTTTGTAGATGTAGATGTAGATGTAGATGTAGATGTAGATGTAGATGTAGATGTAGATGTAGATGTAGATGTAGATGTAGATGTAGATGTAGATGTAGATGTAGATGTAGATGTAGATGTAGATGTAGATGTAGATGTAGATGTAGATGTAGATGTAGATGTAGATGTAGATGTAGATGTAGATGTAGATGTAGATGTAGATGTAGATGTAGATGTAGATGTAGATGTAGATGTAGATGTAGATGTAGATGTAGATGTAGATGTAGATGTAGATGTAGATGTAGATGTAGATGTAGATGTAGATGTAGATGTAGATGTAGATGTAGATGTAGATGTAGATGTAGATGTAGATGTAGATGTAGATGTAGATGTAGATGTAGATGTAGATGTAGATGTAGATGTAGATGTAGATGTAGATGTAGATGTAGATGTAGATGTAGATGTAGATGTAGATGTAGATGTAGATGTAGATGTAGATGTAGATGTAGATGTAGATGTAGATGTAGATGTAGATGTAGATGTAGATGTAGATGTAGATGTAGATGTAGATGTAGATGTAGATGTAGATGTAGATGTAGATGTAGATGTAGATGTAGATGTAGATGTAGATGTAGATGTAGATGTAGATGTAGATGTAGATGTAGATGTAGATGTAGATGTAGATGTAGATGTAGATGTAGATGTAGATGTAGATGTAGATGTAGATGTAGATGTAGATGTAGATGTAGATGTAGATGTAGATGTAGATGTAGATGTAGATGTAGATGTAGATGTAGATGTAGATGTAGATGTAGATGTAGATTGATGACCACATTATTATGGCGTATTTTGTCGGCATTGGCATTTTATTTCTATTTTACTCTTTAATAATGAGATTTTGTTTTTTTAATTTTTCTATTTGTTTCATGTGAAGTTATGTTCTTTTACTAAATTTCCTTGTGTTTTCAATCGAGCGTTAACGACAGACCAATTAGGGAAACCATTATAGTTAATAATGCGTATAATTCTTGTAATCCTGAAAGAGTTTGCGTTTTTTAAAATTACATGGAAGCCATTGAGATTGAGATGGTGGTTGATGAGGCGTAGTATAATTAATGTAACAATGGGTAGAGTTTGTCTCTATAAGCAATACGAATTAATATGAAATATAGTTCAAATGGAATTTAATTGTACCATTTACATTTTCCAGGTTGGTTCCATTATTAAACATTGGAAAATATGTTCTTTATAAGAAAAAAAACCCATTTCAAGATGAAAACGGTAGAATAAATCAATTATTTAAAGCTTTAAAATATCTTAGTGTAAAGTTGATTTTTTTCGAGGAACTGCAATTTAATATATTAACAATATCACGATTTCATACTCGAGATAATAATAACATGTTGCCGCTATTTTCTATTGGTCAGTTTATGCAAAATGATGGTGGTACGAATTGCACATTAGTACGGATTGACAAAAAGCTATATATATATATATATATATATATATATATATATATATATATATATATATATATATATATATTTATATATATATATATATATATATATATATATATATATATATATATATATATATATATATATATATATATATATATATATAGATGTAGATGTATATTGATGCATTTATATATATAGTAAAAGTATATAACTAACCTCATGAGTGGTACATTAGCAGTTATATGGTCAATGGTGCCAGGGTCGAAGTGTGAACTGTTTATTGTAGAATATGGAGACAAACCCTCGTATTTACACCTGAAGGTGTATACATTATACATATAAGAATAATATTTAAAATATATATCGTCTTAGACATCTACTTAATAACATACCAGCATTCTCGACAGCTGTTTCGATATTATTTGTACCTACATTTATATCACTTTATATTACTTACAGTCACACAATCCATCTATCTCTATACTACTAAAACTCAAGTTTGTTTACATGTTTGAATATTAATTTTTTTTTTTTTTGTTTGTCTGATTGTCTACTGAAGAGAATCTGCGCTATGGGGAGAGCTGTAAAATAGTATGTAGGTAGAGAACAATTTTTGTTTTCAGACAGACTGTTAATCACAAATGTATTTAAAGACGTTAATTAATTTATTGATTTATTCATGGTAGATTAACCCATATTCTGCTAGCGTCCCACTTAATGATACGCTTGTAAAAAAAAATGGCTAAAATTTATTAAAAACTAGTTAAACACATTGTATTTGAAAATGACTAGACTATTGAATTTGTGTGTGTTTTGGGAAAAAAATAATTTAGAAAAATGTTATAGTGCCGGATTTGCAGGCCTTGTCAAAATGGCGGAAAAAAGAAAACATGCGCACAGGAAAATGCATATCTTCTAAAATATTAACATTTTAAGTGCAAAATACATTTGAAACTTGTAGCATATATATATATATATATATATATATATATATATATATATATATATATATATATATATATATATATATATATATATATGTAGATGTATATTGATGCATTTATATATATACTAAAAGTATATAACTATTTCTATCCGACAAAAATTTAAGAATAGCAATTTTTTTTTACTACTTCATTATATCAAGTGTACAACAAGCGTCCCATAAGTGGGACACTAGCAACGAATGGCCCCATGTAGATTGTTACACAAACGTCATATTTACTGGACACTAGCGAGAAACACAGAAGCAAATGTTTATGTTAAATGGTTATTTATGGTGAAACAATTGTTGACTTTGTTAACCGCTGACTTTGGAGTGTTAAGTAGTAGTTATAGATATTTAATTATGACCTTGACCTATATTTATGCGGATTGTTACACAAACGTCACATTTATTGGACACTAGCGAGAAACACAGATGCAAATATTTATGTTAAATGGTTATTTATGGTGAAACAATTGTTGACTTTGTTAACTGCTGACTTTGGGGTGTTAAGTTGTATTTATAGATATTTAATTATGACCTTGACCTATATTTTCTTATCTATTATTGTATTAAAAAATTGCAAATATTGAAAAACTTACATTTTATTTTTAAGTTTTCAGAATTACACTTACTGAAGTATTTAATACCATTAAATACAAACTAATTTAGTATTGCTGTAAATTTACTAGCCCGTGATATTAAAATTATAACAAACCAGAATAATAACAATGGCCACGATTTAGGTGAAATGATTCAGTCATGAGGGTTGGGTAACTCTCTTCATATAAGAGAGCTTAAGCTACATATAGCAGAGACGTGAATTAGCTGTGTACTGTTGTCATGCCCCATTAATATTCCCCTCCAAAGGTTCCAGATACCAGTTTTACTGTGTTAACTTTTTAAGGAGATAGCTGGTACTAGAATGGGAGCTGTTCGAATAGTGAGGTGTATACATGGATGAGAGCCATGAACACTCAATACAAGCCCCCAGAGACGGATCCGTGCCCTAGAAATAAGATGTCTGATGTCCTAATGTACACCTGTGAGGATGGGGGGGGGGGAAATAGCGAGGGTAACAAAAGAGAAGATGGCTGGATGACATCTGGGACTGAACCGGATCATCTTTTGCAAATTCACTGAGGGCAGAGTTTCTTTCAGGCATCATTTCGGAGGAGGGGGGGGGGGCTCTGCCCCCAGAACAAAATGGAATTTATATACAAAACATACTTTTACCATTGTCCAACGCCCCCCAAAAAATTAATTATTTATATTTAATTATATTACAGTTTCGATGAATAATAAGAATATTTGTGAACATGTGTGTATAATTAGATGTACTAGTCACAGCTTTACTTATTTCCAAGTGTTATCCGCTTTGATGGATGCTAGATTGAAAGAAAACTAGAATTTTGAACATAATTTCTGCATTTTAGACCATGGTATGGCTAACCCTATTGATCATTATCAGTATTTTTAGCATTCCTAAAATGTAATCATTGGTCTAACAATACAAAATCAGTATACAGCTTAATTTTCGCGTGATTAGCCATATTTCATGATAAAATATTTTATTTTTCTATAAATGTACATGGGGCCGTTCGTTGCTAGCGTCCCATTTATGGGACGTTTTTTAAAAAATCAATATTTAAAAAGTATTGATTTTTTAAAAAAAAATCCATAGGCATTACTTTATTCAGTGCCCAAAAGCTAAACCATATAAAAAAAATATAAAAATTTGAGACCTTGGGATGATATGGGTTAACCACATTAATTTTAAAAGTTTAAAATATTGACTTTACTTTGATGGAATAGTGACGTCACATGATTTATTTACTTTTTACATCAACAATGGCGGCATACATCGAGAATTGTGTTCCCATTCCAATGTTTAGCGCGTTCTAAAGCTAATTTTCTTTCGGCTATAGCATAAATGATACGTCCGTTTGCTGTTTTTATTACGTTCCAACACACTTATATAAATTTGCAACTGTCTTTGTCATTTAGTTTTACAATAAATGTCTCTAGCTCTATAATCTGTCCAAGAAAGTTATTTATAGATCCAAATTATTTATAGATCTAAATATCGGGTGGCCAAGAAAGATATTTATAGATCTAGATCTAGATACTAGGTCAAACCAAAGATTAATTAATAAATATAATCCATTTTAAAATCATAAAACATTTTTTAGTTTCTTTATTAAACTACTTTAGTCCTTAAATACTTGAGATAAATCTTTGTGATTTATCTAGATCTAGAATAGTTCTAATCTAGATCTAGCAAGAGTTACGCAAAAACTAGACTTAAGCAAACTAGTTGTAGAATCTAGATAATTCTATATAGATCTAGATAATAATGAATTTCTATTCTAAACTATTTCATACCTTCATTATTTTATATAAATCTTTGTTTGTTTAGCTATGAAAGTGGCATATTTAAGATACAATTTAATTTGAAAGTTACTAGACTTAGATCTAGATCCAGATAGGCCTAGGGCCTATGCGCGTAAATCAAGTTGCATAAGGAGACTCACAGTATTAAGTTATACCACAAAAAACACCAGTGATGTCACGAGTCTAGACAGCTAAGTTGTTAGTGTAATAGGCTTTCGTGTAGGTGGCAGGGGTTCTAGGCAAATCACGTCAATGTTACTTTTTTTTCAATTGTTTTTTTTAGATGTGAATTATAAATTTGACTATCTGAACTTGGCGGGATACAGGGCAGATGAAGTAGAGTTCATCTGTTTCTTTGTCCTAAGCATATGAAAGGATAGTGTGGTCAGAGACATGCTCGGTCTGAATCTTTTTTTTTTAAATGATAAAAACACGTTGTCTGAGATTTGGCGGGACACTGGGCAGGTGAAGTAGAGTTGAGTAGGTCACCTGTGACGTCATATATGAAGGGATAGTGTAGTCAGACCAATGCTCAGCCGAAATCGGTGTTTTAAAAGATAAAAAACGTCTTTTTGAATGTGAGGTGTGATTATTTTGTGATGATAAGTGACAGATGTGATGTCATTTATGGATGACCCCCGAAACCCACAGTTATCCAAGTTGATGATCGGGTAAGTCTAGTATACTACTAACACCGAGAAATTTGTATATCTATTTATGTTTTGTTTTTATTTTTTTTATACATTTAAGAATCTGCACTATGTTTAGAACTGTAAAATACGTATTTTTGTAGAATCTTCTTTTTTTACTAAACTAATAAACACAAATTTATTTAAATACGTTAATTAATTTAATGATGTATTTAATTGTAAATACAACAATTAAATTATAAGAATTCAGAACATAGACTGGTTTTCATTAACGACACTTGATTTATTTAGTAATTTTGACAACATGTTGCCCATTCAAAAGTTTTACGCATTATAAAGCTAAAATTTCTGTCATATATAGCTTGAATAACACAACTGTTTGCTTTTTTAAAATTAGAATCCAGCACTAAGATCAATTTTCAATAGGACACGCTGGGTAGTTGTTCTAATTTGAGTCTACAATAATTTATCTATTTATAGATTAGTAGGTTCTAGATTCTAGATCTACAGATAGGCCAAACCGAAATCAATAAGTTAGAAACAACAAAAAGTTAACGAACGCCAAAACAAAATGTGCATAATAGTGCGCAATATTATTAGTACTTTATAAATATACATGCGTTTTTTGAGAAATCGGAAATAGCGTAAATTAGTACTTCCGGTCAACGGAAATTACTCAAAATTTGACAAAAAGTAGAGAATTAGATCTTTTACTTACTTGTGAAATTTCAGTTATCTATCTGAAATAGTACTCAAGTTATAGGCTTTTGAAAAAATTAAAGTAGGAAAAGTACCACTTCCGATTATCGGAAATCGCTCAAAAGTTGATACAGATCTACGACTTTGATAAAATACTTATATATGAAATTTCATCAACCTAGCTGTACCGGTACTCAAGTTATTGTGTTTACACACGGACACACAGACAGACAGACAGACAGACACACAGACAAACAGACACACAGACATACGGACAAGATTGCAAAATTATGTTTTTTCGTATCAGTGAGGTGTAAAACGTCGAGATTTGTAAAAATCTCGATTTTTTTTATACGATTACAAGACTTTCTATATACGAGAAAGTAAAAACGATGTTTTTAATAGAAAATAAACCGGGACTGATCTCCCCTAAACTTTCTCGAATATTCTTATATAAAACAACAGGGGGTGGGAACTCGGGCTATAGACATGATTTTTAATCCATTTTAAATACTTAAAGTTTTAAAAATAGAATAAAATCTCGTAGACGAAAGAATCGCACACCAAGTGAACGCCAAATTAAAAAAAGTGCATAATAGTGCGCAATATTATTAGTACTACTTTAAAAATTTACATTAGTTTTTTGAGAAATCAGAAGTAGCGTAAACTACTGCTTCCGGGCAATGGAAATTAATCAAAATTTAACAGAAGGTAGATAATTAGATCGTTTACTTACATATGAAATTTCATTTATCTATCTGAAATAGCACTCAAGTTATAGGCTTTTGAAAAATTCAAAGTAGATAAAGTACCACTTCCGGTTATTGGAAATCGCTCAAAAATTGAAACAGATCTACGAATTTGATAAAATACTTATATATGAAATGTCATCAACCTAGCTGTAACGGTACTCAAGTTATCGTGTTTACACACGGACAGACAGACAGACACACAGACATACGGACAGAATTGCAAAGCCCAGTTTTTCAAGACTGGATTACGCATAAAACCTCTTAATTTTGATAAATCGGGATTGATAATTTTTGCCCGATTAAAATAAGTCCTCTATACTTCGGATGTGATGAAGAACTGAGGTGTAATACGGTGAAAATTGTTAAAATTTCAAGTGATTTTTGTGCACGATTACAATACTTTCTCTATACTTCGTATATACGAGAAAGTAAAAATATGTAATCTGAGATGTAACTTTTTTAAAGATGTGAATTATAAAGTAGCCCATCGGGATTTGGCGGGGCACTGGGCATGCGAAATAAAGTTCTCCTGTTTCTGTGAACAAAGAATATGAAGGGATAATGCATTCAGACGCATGGTCGGCCGAAATATGTGTTTTTAAAAGACAAAAACATGTCGTGTCACGTTTTTTGAATGTGGGGTCTGGCTTTTTGTGGCGATGTGTGACGAAGGTAATGGGAAAAATAAAAATCGTCAAACAAACGTATTTCCATTTATTGATTATACTCGAAACCCACGGTTATTTAAGAATAATGGCTAGTCTAGTCTATTTTAAACTTACCTATATTCCCACGACCAATGTAAACATTACCTGCATCTTCACTACATGTGTAAACATTACCTGTGTAAATATTACCTATTACCTTCTACCTGTGTAAACCTTACCTGTACTCCCACCACCTTCTGTTGTAGTTTTCTTTAGTTGTCTCCCCACTAAATACCTCCCATCTCCACAGGTCAGCGATATAAATAAACGGGATGAAAGTAATCGTTTTCTGAGCCTGGGCCATCAAGAAGTTGATTGTGGACTCTAGAATTTTAATTTGTAATTTTAGTCATTAAAATGAATAAACTTATAATAGATTACAGCTTATTAAAATGTGTCATAAAACGATGATCACATATGCTCTGACTAATGGCTTTTGGTTGCTAGAATTGAAAAATTCTCTTCTCACCCTTGTCGTATACCACCTCTTTGATCAAGTTGATCGACTTCAAATGTTCCTGCGTTTCTACAGACAACGATATTGTGTTGCCTACAGCCTCTAGAAAGCCTTTAGTTAAATACAGAAAAATATTTTTACTTCACATTTTTGCACGCTAAACCAATTATAAAATAAATATAAATAACCTTTTTAGGCAAGTTCCCTTTTCCTAACCTGAAGGTCTATGTGGAAAGTCCACATGTTTTTCTGACCTCGGCAAATGAAGGGATAGTGTGGTCAGCACTAAGCCCAGCCGCCATTACTTTCCCTAAAGTGAATTAGGTACCTATCAGAGCACATTGACAGTCTACTGACCTGAACCCGCTAGACCACTCTGTCACTTTATAGCTACAAGATTTAGGGGATAAGCTCCTTACAAAAACACCAAATTCCTAGTTTTTCGTCAGGATGAGTTTCTTGCACTTGTGTATACTTTGTCAATTTTTTTGTGTTAAGAAAAAAATAGACTTAATGAAAAAAAAGTGTTTGTTTAAAATACCTCTTTTATGACCCTATTAATTAAAAATTTTTTTTTCTCAATCTTACAAGCTCTCTACGAAACGTTTTTTTTATCCGTTATCATATTGTATTTGTCGTCATTGGAATGCTGCATTTCTCATGAATTTGATACTCTTATTCTCAATATTCTCGGAAAAAACCCAATGCTTACTATCAGCTTTACAAATAACACGGATATGATATTTTCGTGACCAACTTTTCGTTATTTTTTGCTGTTTTTCCCTGTTTGGACTTTTTTAACACTAGAAAAAAGACTATTGCTTTTTATTTATTAAACAATGACTAAAATATTTTCAGTAGGCCTAATTAATTTTTGAAAAAATAAAACTTTTGTCACGAGGGAATAGTGATGGATTTAATAAAAAAAAAGGTTTATGGTAAATAATATGCAAATTTTGAAACATTTAAATACTAAAAAGGGTAAAAATATTTTAGACCTTGTATAAATGCTTTCTGGTAGCTATTTCATAACGTTGTCGTGACAAAAGTTTTAATAGATACTGAGATATAAGCAGTTTAAATTTGATTGCTATAAGTGCACAAATAAAAAAAGCATTAGCATATTTACAAGTACCGACCAATTCAAAATGGCTGAGGTTTCTTTGAGTTTCCATGACTACCAAAATTGTATTCAACACTTTTTTTGCTGTTTTATACTTACTGTTATGTGTCAAACATGGTAAAAGTATTCAACAGGGGTTAGATCTTAAATTGTAAAAAATAGAAAAAAAACTGTGCATATCCCCTTAATGCACTAAAAAAAGAAAATAAAACTAATTTGCATTTTTTTTAATAAAATGTTTTTCACTCATGTGATCTTTTACATATTTTTGCGACCAAATCTTTTTAAAAAGAAAGCAGATTAGTTTCATTTTATCTTTGACTGATGTAATGCTAGATATTACTTCAAAACAATGTAGTAATTCAAGAAAAGTGGGATCCTTTAGTTTTTTTACTAATTTCATAGTGTGTAATTATTTTATTTAAACTATCCTTTTAAGGTATCATACACTAAAAAAAAAACATAAAATTTCAATGTAGTTTTTTTTAAAATAATTGTCAAACAATTTTTTTTACTGAAATTGTGTACAGCCTAAAGAGTAGGCCTATAGTGTTTTAATGACGATCACGTTAAAAAAATAAAACAACAATTAGTTAAAAACTTAAAGAAGTTTTTTTAAAAAGAATTAAAGTTGAAACATTGTGTGCAGTGAACAAATAAAATGAAAACCATTACCATTTGTTATTAAACCATTTAACCCAAAACTGCAATCGTTTACAACATTGAATGCAGTCAAACATTACTAAACTCACAAAAATAGACCTTGTTTCACCTGAAGTAAAGAGTAAAGTTCTCTTTTGAAAGCTGACGGTCTATATGGTAAGTGAACTAGAGTTCATCTGTTGCCTTGAAGAGATGGTGTGGTCAGCACTATGCCAGCCGTCTTTACTTTCCTTAACTTGAGTAAGGTTCCCATCAGAGTTGGGTGGACTCAGGGACCGTCTACTGACTTGAACCCGGATTCGAACTCGAGACACACCGGTTAGCAGTCCAGCTCTCTACCGCTAGACCACTCCGTCCCCTTATCTAACCAAAAGAGTTTTAAAGTCAATGCTAGCACTGACCTGGATTGGCTCCGCCCCTAAAAACAAATGGTTGATTCTTGTATTGAAGAAAATATTGAATATATCCCATTTCGCGGTGGGTTATACTAAAATAGTTTTCCGACATCTCCGTGCATTGCTTAATTCTAGGCAAGAAGTTCATACAAAGAAATGTGAACATTACAATTAAAAAGATTCACAGTGGCGGAGCACGGGTATGCAACTAATATATATATATATATATATATATATATATATATATATATATATATATATATATATATATATATATATGTTTATGTATATAATTTAGCATTTAATAGCATGATAGTTGATATGTTGATTAATTTTTTAATTTTTTATTTTTTATTCTTTCATATGTGTCCAATTTATTAATCAAACATACATTATTAAAAACCTTAAATTAGTGTATTTTTTGTGTATAAAGAGTTAAGTTCTTGCAAACTAAGCTCACCGAAAATCTTTGCCGTTCCCAAAATCCCAAGCCGAAACAAAGCAATCAACTTTTCGTCCATCTTTAGGTTTTTCCATCAAAGATTTTCTCCAGAACTCCTCCGGCACTGAAATCATCCCCAGCGATTTGAAGAAATCATCAGCGATCTGGAAAATCTTCATGGCTGTGTAGTTCTACAGATTGACACACAAAACATTAAAGTTCTACAGATTGTCACACAAAACATTAAAGTTCTACAGATTGGCACACAAAGTATTATTACTATTAAAAACTGAATTCTACCTAAGTGTACAAACATGTACAGTTCGATTATTGAATGTGTATTTAGCGAACTAGAGACTTTCTAGCAAAAGAAAATCTTATTCTAACGCTTACATTTGTAACTAACAATACCACTCACTTGTTTGACCATTTCAGCAGCAATATCAAATGAAGTTTTACCGCTAATTGGTGGTTCCAAATCCATCGCATACCCTACAATGGTCATTTATATGAAAACACAATATTTAAATGTTTACAATGCATTTCATGCAAGTTTATAATATCAAAGACAGAACATTGTGCAGGTGTGTATATTGTCTAGCCCTATTACTCTATCTCAGAATACAGTAAACGCTCTCTCCCCAACCCATCTCAATTCAAACTCACAAAACGTGTGCACAGTTGCCTTCCATTGTAATAGAATTACCCCCCCCCCCCCCAACTAACAGACGTGCTTGTATGTTTTCTTCTTTGCATTAGAGTCGCTCGCACTTACAATACAGATTTTCTGGGATATGACCAGAGGCAGGAAACGTGTCGTTCACATGGATCGCCTTCAGCTTACGTCTGGCATATGCGTGGAAATGTTTGTACAAAGGTAGGACCTGGTCGTACAAGGCTCGAATATTGTCTTTAAAGTTAGCGTCTTCATAGTACGACCTCCAGTAGGCGCCGTAGTCAGAGTGACCTAGAAGACGAAATTATATAAAATAATGGCGATGTAGATGATGATATAAACTAATAAATCGGGAGTGATCCCCCTTAAACTTTCTCGAATATTCTTATATAACACTACGGGGGATGGCAACTCGAGATATAGACACTATTTTAAATTCATTTATAATTACTTAAACTTTTTAAAATTGAATAGAATCTAGTAAAAAAAATAATTGCACTAAGTGATCGCCAAATAAAATGTGTATGATAGTACAGAATATTATTAGTACTTTGTAATATCACTTCCGTTTTTTGAGAAATCGGAAATTAGCATAAATTACTACTTCCGATCTACGGAAATTACTCAAACTTTGACAGAAGGCAGAAAATTTTATCTTTTACTTATATTTGAAATTTCATTTATCTATCTGAAATAGTACTCAAGTAGTAGGCTTTTGAAAAATTGAAAGTAGAAAAAGTTCCACTTCCGTTTATCGGAAATCGCTGAAACATCGATACGGATCTACACATTTGATATAATACTTTTATGTGAAATTTCATCAAGCTGGCTGTAATGGTACTCAAGTACTGTAGACACACATACATACACACACACACACAGACATACGGACAAGATTTCAAAACTATGTTTTTCCGAGGTGTAAAACGTCGAGATTTGCTAAATCTGTTTTTTTTTTGCACGATTAAAATACTTTCTTTTAATTTTGTATACGAGAAAGTAAAAATTACTCATCAATTCCAAAGTTTTAATTTTTTTCATCAATATATTAATATGTAAATATTTTATAAGCTTTGATTTAGCTTGATTTAAATAACGGAAATAGATCTTTTGTTGATTTAAATTTATGACCAACTTTTCCAAATCGCTTTATTTAAACTTGAAAATTAGAGTCAAGATCCGATAACAGTGCAAATTAATTTAACTTTTTACTTACTTTATGTTTTACTACTTTTTACTTTCTCGTATATACGAAGTATAGAGAAAGTCTTGTAATCGTGCAAAAAAAAAAATCGAGATTTTTGCAAATCTCGACGTTTTGCATCTCACTGATACGGAAAAACATAATTTTGCAATCTTGTCCGTATGTCTGTGTGTCTGTGTGTGTGTGTGTCTGTGTGTGTGTGTGTCCGTGTGTAAACACGATAACTTGAGTACCGTTACAGCTAGGTTGATGAAATTTCATATATAAGTATTTAATCAAAATCGTAGATCCGTATCAACTTTTGAGCGATTTCCGATAACCGGAAGTGGTACTTTTCCTACTTTGAATTTTTTAAAAGCCTATAACTTGAGTACTATTTCAGATAGATAAATGAAATTTCATACGTAAGTAAAAGATCTAATTCTCTACCTTCTATTAAATTTTGAGTCATTTCCGTTGACTGGAAGTAGTACTTTACGCTACTTCCGATTTCTCAAAAAACTAATGTAAATTTTAAAAGTAATAATAATATTGCGCACTATTATGCGCTTTTTTATTTCACGTTCACTTGGTGTGCAATTAATTTGTCTACGAGATTTTATTCTATTTTTAAAACTTTAAGTATTTAAAATGGATTAAAAATCATGTCTATAGCCCGAGTTCCCATCCCCTGTTATTTTATATAAGAATATTCGAGAAAGTTTAGGGGAGATCACTCCCGGTTTATTTTTTAAATAATGAAAGATTACTTTTTACTTTCTCGTATATACGTAGTATAGAGCAAGTATTGTAATCGTGCAAAAAAAAATCGAGATTTTTACAAATCTCGACGTTTTACACCTCACTGATACGGAAAAACATAATTTTGCAATCTTGTCCGTATGTCTGTGTGTGTGTGTGTCTGTGTGTGTGTCTGTGTGTCTGTGTGTCCGTGTGTAAACACGATAACTTGAGTACCGTTACAGCTAGGTTGATGAAATTTCATATATAAGTATTATATCAAAATCGTAGATCCGTATCAACTTTTGAGCGATTTCCGACAACCGGAAGTGGTACTTTTTCTACTTTGAATTTTTCAAAAGCCTATAACTTGAGTACTATTTCAGATAGATAAATGAAATTTCACATGTAAGTAAAAGATCTAATTCTCTACCTTCTGTTAAATTTTGAGTAATTTCCGTTGACCGGAAGTAGTAATTTACGCTACTTCCGATTTCTCAAAAAACTAATGTAAATTTATTAAGTACTAATACTATTGCGCACTATTATACACACCTTTATTAGGCGTTCGCTTGGTGCGCAATTGTTTTTTACTGAGATTCTATTCTATTTTTAAAAGTTTCAGTATTTAAAATGGATTAAAAATCATAACTATATCCCCAGTTACCATCTCCTGTTGTTTTATATAAGAATATTCGAGAAAGTTTAAGGGAAATCACTACCGGTTTATTTAATAATAACTTTCCGCGCTATAATGGGTTGTGCTTCTCTTGGTTAGTCATCCGTTTTATTTAAAAGTAAAAGTAAACTTTCCCTTTCAAACCTGACGGTCTATGGGGCTAGTGAAGTAGAGTTCACTTGTTTTTGTGACCTCGGCATATAAAGAGATAGTGTGGTCAGCTCTATGCCCAGCCGCCTTTACTTTCCCTAACGTGAGTTAGGTACCCATCAGAGTTGGGTGGACTCAGGGACGGTCTACTGACTATTCGAACGCTAGACCACTCCATCCCATTCCGTTTAATGTACGCGATTAAATTCTATCAAAATGTAATGTTTTTAAGCTTTTATTTATTAATTTTCTGTCAAATGTTTTAATTTTTAAAAATGTATTAGTCAAGTCTCAGTGTTATTTTTATAATTCTTAATTCTACCCAAAAATCGAATGGCTTCGTTGCTAAGTGAAACATATTCAGAATACAATTTTTTCAATTTGGCATCAGGCGAGTCTGTGCTGTCATTTTCTGAAACAGAAAAAAAATTAAAGTTGATAGATACCTTAAAGAGGTATAGACGGTGTTTTATTACTTGACTAAAATTTCATTTTGAGAAACTTTAATAATTTAAATTAACTATTGGAAGTATTTTATTATCCCGTTTAAGTACAAATGCACATTTTAATCAGGTTTTCCACAAAAAAAACATTAATATTAGTTTCATAAATCAAACTCTACAATCAATAGCAACAAATTCAAATGTATTTAATTAACTAATATACTGATTATTATTTAATCTTAAGGGGGATCCATTTATGACGTCTCGCTTTTTCTGCGATTTTTGCTTTTCTCTCCTTCCACAAAATATCCATTACTCCAATACAGTATAATGAATTCACATTTCCGCCTTCCACATTACCCGAAATCAAATTGTTTTGTGTAAACCAGAGGCGTAGCTAGGGGGGGGGGGGGGGTGCGGAACGCACCGGGTGACACCATTTAGGGGGGTGACACCAAGGCAAAAAATAGCAAAATATATAGAGACAAACTTGAGGGGGGGGTGCAAATCGAAAGTTTGAGGGGGGGGGGGTGCAAATCGAAAACTGGAGGGGGGTGCATATCGAAAGTTTGAGGGGGTGCAAATCGAAAATTTGTCCACGGGAAGGGTCGCTACGCCTCTGGGGGGTGACACCATTAAGTGCCGCACCGGGTGAAACCCGACCTCGCTACGCCACTGGTGTAAATAGCAATTTTACAAAATATTACTGAACTTGGATGGCTTTGACTATCATAACTGCAAATGAGTTATTTCCCTTTTTAAGCTCGCTTTTGTCTGTCATTTATATATATATATATATATATATATATATATATATATATATGAATGTATGTGTGTGTGTGTCAGAAAGATAGTATAAGCGTTAGTAGGGGCATTTTCTTCTACTTCCACCACTGGTCATTTGAGCATTAAATAATATCAGTATTATTTCGGTATCCGTATGTAAAATTGCGATAATGAAAAAGTACATAACTGGTACATTGTTCGACTTGGGGTAAGTTACTGTGTGTTATTTACTTTGTGATATGTATCATCTACAATTTACAATGGAAAAACAATTTTAAATTCCAAAACCGGTATTCTACCGATGTCTACATCTTTCTAGGTCTAAGAGAAGGGTCTCTATACAAGGTCGACCCAATTACAAAGTCGAAATATTGTCGATAATTTATGTAGAAATGTCAATTAAAAGATTAAAGAAAAATGTTGAAAAATTGTGATTTTATATTCGAAGATGTTTTTGTTTTTTATTGAGTGAACATTTAACTCAGGGGCTCAGTGGCATGGTGATTTTAGGCTCAGGAGCTAAGGGTTAAAGTGTTAAAAACATCGTCTTTTGTCAATTTCAATCGTAAAACATAACCTGGCTGGACACCATCTTTGTTGATGAAGATCATTTCTTTCAGTACTTCTTGCAGCTGGAATAATAAGTAAACAAAGTGATGAAAAGTGTATGGAAAATAAAAATAAAAAGAACACGTGACGCTGTGAACCATTATTTGAAATAAAAACAAGATATGCACAATCGTCGTACAAGATTTACTTCAGTAAAAAACAATACAAGCATGAGGCATGGCAAAATAAAAAAAAAAATATATTAACTTTCGCAGTAACAGAGCGAAATAAAGAATCTTAAAGTTATGCAACCTTAACAAAACCCCATCATAGGAATAACAAGTTATTTTGGTATGAAAGGAAATTATGATATAACCTTGACTGAACTCACCCTGGCCAGTTTTGTCTTGTTTTGTTGTGCGTCGGTATCTATGTCCATGATTTTGGAGAACTGGCGTTTTTGTATTGGAGTCAAGAGAGTCAGATTGAATCGTGACGCATTTTTATATGCTTCCTGCCTAAATCTGGAGTATTCCATTTGCTGGTCCGTCTTGATAAGATAGAAAACGTTATGTAAAAGTGAATTGTATAAACAAATTTAATAAATAGAATATTAATGAATTTATATAAACGCTATATACAACACATTTTTGATTTTGTTTAGTTAAAATCGTTAAAGCAGGAAAAAAATATATTTAACGGCATCGAGCCAGCCAATGAGAATTACAGAAAATGAGAAAAAAATGTATGTGTGTATATACTTTTTAAATCAACACATGATTATTTATAAACCAAAGTGGTCCGGTACCCGATAGGGCACTTCGCGGCGCCTTAGTCGCTTCATATTTGGCAGGTTCCTGTCTTGGGGCAATAGAACACGGGGGCCTGTGACGGTTGGCCACAAAATTCACGAAGAGGGGGTTAAAACTGACCTCGACTGACCGGCGCCTTATATGAGCTATATATAGAAAAATAATTCCCACGTAGGAACATCTTCATAACTCCTAAGGTCGTTGACCGACACTCGGGGGTGGCAAAAAAAATTATGGCATGTTCGGGAAAACTCCGGAAGGCATTTAGAACTGACTGGTCCGAATTTTCCCTATATAAACATTGTTAATTTTGTGAAAAACGATGACTATTTTCAAAACATTTTTAGGGTACTTTGGCTCTGTACATCTGGCTCATTTTTCCATACACCTGGGTAAATGAATCGGCGTTATAGATTAACTATCGGTCAGCCGCAGCTCACACGGCGAGGGCTAAAAAGTGAAATTCTCCTAACTTGAGCTATACATAAAAAATTGACGAACGATCCCCCTGATATTTTGTTAGTTCGTAGACCGACCCTGGAGGGTAAGGAAAAAAAAACTTTATTGCCGTAGGAAAAAAATCCTTATGGTCGTTAAATTTGTCCAGATGCCGTATTTTCTTTTATAAGCATAGCAACTGTTTATGAAAAAAATAAACAAAGACTACGTGTTTCTATTAATACATTTTCGTTCAACCTTCGTGTTTTACTTTTATCAAATGCATTTTAACTTTAAAAGTGCTTTAAATTATTAGTGTTTAAACTAAATGTTTCCATTTTTTTTTTTAAAATCTAATTTTAATTAAATCGATTAATAAAAGTAAATATTAAATTATCATTCAGTAACCGCATGTAGTGATAACTTAACTTCCTACGTAAATATCATGTTATTCATTATGTTTGTGTTGAAATGCTTAGCTTGCAATCCACTTTTGATTATCATTTGTAACGCTGTATCATTTAAATTAAAATCAACTTTTTTAATATATTGTTGGATCGTTTAACTTAGCACTTTTGTTATGTTATGAAATTTTTATTTTGTTTAGCTTACCCTCAACTTTTTGTTATAATCTGTAATGTTGGTTTTGTAGTTCCATTCAGCCGATTGACAAGCTAGTTTAAGTTTCTGGATTTCATAATCAAAATTCTCTAGGAAATCCTTCACTCCGGTGTTGATTTTTTGACCCCAACATACTAGGCCACAAGTCAAGATCAGAAATCTCAGCATGCTGCTTCTCCTGTAGATACAGTAAAGACTGCAAAACATATTAAATTTACAGCGGTTATACTAGTGTTGTTGTAAATGTTTTGACAATGGACTCACAGTCACCTTCAGTTGAATAGAATGTAACTTTTTCCCATAGTCAAAGGAAAACATTTTTCTAAAACTTCGATTTATTTCTCCGTCTTTTAAATAGTAACACTGATCAGTGTAAAATGTACTTAAGTTACATTTTTTGCCAAAAGAAATTGAGACAGGCATAAATCATCCATGTTAATTAGGAACCGGGAAAAAGTACACAAATTGTAAAAATTTCATTAAAAAGCTGAAACATTCAATATATATTAACACCATTTTAAAAACCTTAACTCATATCTCTCAAAACTATAAAACTAAAAATGACTAGGTGTAGTAAACTGCAAGCCGCCAAGGCTCAGGGCCCAAGACAAGGCAGAGAAATTATGTTTGCAAATGTGCAAGCATTACTTGCGAATGACATTCAACTTTTCCACGTTGTGCTAACTATATTAGTGGTCGAAGTGGTTGCGTATCGTACAGCTTATTTTTGTGGCTTGTGTTACATTCAGTTAGGTTCAGAGTTTCTTTTTTTTTTGCTGCTGGTATTTTTACCTTCTAGTATACGAAGTATAGAAGAAGTATTTGAATCGTGATTTTCACAAATCTCCACGTTTTACACATTACTGAGTCGGAGAAACATAGTTTTGCCATTTTGTGCGTATGTCTGTGTGTATTTAGATTCGTATGTATGTCTGTGAACACGATAACTTGAGTACCGTTTAAGCTACGTTAATGAAATTTCATATATAGCTATTATATAAATTTGTAGTTCGGTTTTAACATTTAAGCCATTTCCGGTAACCGGAAGTGGAACTTATTTTTGTTTTTCCAATATCCTATAATTTGACAACTGTTTCAGAGAGATAAACGAAATTTCACATGTAATTAAAATTACTAATTCTCTGCCATCAGTTAAATTTTGAGTAATGTTTGTTTTGACCGGAATAAGTACTTTGCGTTTTTCCAATTTCTCAATAAAACATTAATTTATACTCATATTACGCACGATGCATAAAATGTTTACGGTTCTTTGGTGCCATTTCCTGTTTTTTAATTGGTTCTTTTTCTCTATTAATTAAATTTGACAATTTATAAATGCTATCTAAATACTACTAAAACTCAAGTTTGTTTACATGTTTGAATATTTGTTTTTGATTTTTTGTTTGTCTGATTGAGTATTGTGAATAGTTCTACTCTATGTGGACAGCTGTAAAATAGTATGTAGGTAGAGATAAATTTTTGTTTTAAGACAGACTGTTAACCACAATTTTTTTTAAAGACGTTAATTAATTTATTGATTTATTCATAGGTAGATTAACGACATTTTAAAAAAGATTAGAACAACTACTAGACTCGACGAAACAGTGACGTCACGGTTTTTTGTTTACTTTTTAGTATAATAAAATGGCGGCGTCTATAGAAGAAGATAGTGTTCCCATTCCAAAGTTTAACGCGTTCTAAAGCTAATTTTCTCTCTACTATAACTTTAACAATACGTCCGTTTGCTGTATTTATTACGTTCCAACACTTAAAATCAATTTTCAACTGTCTTTTTCATTTAGTTTTACAATAAATTTCTCTAGATCTACAATCTGCCCAAGAAAGTTATTTATAGATCTAGAAATAGAATCTAGGTCAAATCAAAGATTTATTAGTTATAAATACAATCCTAAAAAAAACAAGACTTAAGAAAACCAGTCGTATATCTAGAATATAGATAATTCTATCTAGATTTAGTTAATAATGAGTTTCTACATACTAAACTATTTTAGACCTTTATTATTTTGTATAAATCTTTGTTTCGACTATGCTAATTTTGAAATGCTTGATCCAGGGCCAATTTGCGTAGCTTAAGATTCATACGCGGCTTCGATACCGCTAATTTTGCTAAATTATAAACGTAAATTCTAAATATGGCTCAGTCTTAGATATAAAATATAGATAATTCTATCTAGATTTAGATAATAATGATTTTCTATATACTAAACTATTTTAGACCTTTATTATTTTATATAAATCTTTATTTGGAATATGCTAATTTTGAAATGCTCGATCCCGGGCCTATTAGCGTAGCTAATGATTAGATCTAGATCTAGCAAGAGTTACGCAAAAACTTAAGTTAAGACTTAAGCAAGCGAGTCGTAGAATCTAGATCTAGATAATTTTTATCTAGATCTAGATAATTTCAAACCTTCATTATTTTATATAAATCTTTGTTTGGGTAATTAAAGATAAAATTTAATTTTAAAATTACTACTACTTGATCTAGACTTAGATCTAGATCAATGCGCGTAAATCAAGTTGCATAAGGAGACTCAAAGTATTAAACCATAGTGTAAAAATACATCTCTGACATCACGAGTTAATAGCTAAGTTGTTTGTGTACTCGGCTTGCATGCGGGTGGCACAGGTTCTTGACCAATACGTCAATGATACATATTTTTTGCAATTTTTATTTTATTTTTTAGATGTGAATGATTAGTTGCCTATCTGAACTTGGCGGGATACAGGGCAGGTGAAGTAGAGTTAATCTGTTTATTTCTCCTAAGCATATGAAGGGATAGTGTGGTCATAGACATGCTCCGCTGGAATCGTTTTTTTAAACGATAAAAACATGTTGTCTGAGACTTCGCGGGACACTGGGCAGGTGAAGTAGAGTTGAGTAGGTCACCTGTGACGTCAGTATATGAACGGATGGTCCGAAATCGGTGTTTTCGGTGCTTTTAAAAGATAAAAAACGTATTTTTGAATGTGGGGTCTGTTTTTTGTGACGATAAGTGATACTGCAGTAGCGTAGCGAGTGGGGGGGGGGGGGGGGATGGGGGGGGCGGGGGCCATATGTCCCCGGGCGCCGACCTTAGGGGGCGCCAAAATGGGTTGGAAAAATAAATTGACTGGTTGAGGGGTTTGCAAATCGAAAGTTTGAGGGGGTGCAATTTGAAATCTTGAGATGGGGGGGGGGGGGTGTATATCAAAAGTTTGAGAAGGGGGTGCAAGTGGAAATCTTGCGGGAGGGGAAGGGTTCAAATCGAAAAGTTTGTCCCCGAGCACCGGGAAGGGTCGCTACGCCTCTGAGTGACAGACGTGATGTTTTTTATGGATGACGCCCGAAACCCACAGTTATCCAACGGATGACGGGTAGTCTAGTATAATCTAAAATTCAAATACCACAGTAATTTGGATATGTGGAAAGCATTCATAATTTTTTTTTCTGGAAATCTACAGTGTTTTTATAAATTTAAAACGAAGTATATATATATTATATATATATATATATATATATATATATATATATATATATATATATATATATATATATATATGTATCAGTATATGTATCAGTATATATTTATACATGTATATGGATTATGTATATGTATTGGTTTTTCTTTTATAACGTTCATGGTGTCTTACAGAAATTCTAAATAAAAAATGAAACATATTCAGGAGATAGTATTAAACCGTTATCCTTTTATTGTCAAATGATTAACCATTGGATACAGCTTTAACCCAAAATCAAATTACATAATATTGTTAAAAAAATACACTAACATCTTCCTTGAGCTTGGTCAAGTTTTTAACGAAAGTACACGTTTTTACTTATCCAGAATATCTAAGAATAATACAACTTACTTTATTGCGTTGTTAACCTGCATGCAATCTTTATTGCAGCCAAGCACAAAATGGACACCCGCTGCAAATGCTGAACCCACGTGAGACTAATTTCTACTTGTAGCAGTGGTTCTAATATTTTTAAAATACCGAATGCATTTCTTATTGAGTATTAATATTGGTAAAAATTTTTTTTCAAAAATATCGAATGCACACCTTTAAGTAAAAATCAGTCCTCAATCAAACCCACTGTATTTTTCTTGTAGCTATGGGCCAACTTAAACCCAGTCTCTGTTCTCAAAAGATCTCTGAACATATCAGATTACCAAATTACGCATTTCTTAGTGGTCGTTGGGTGATTTTTTAACGTTTTAAATAAGGCAGCTAGATATGTACTTAAATACAAGATGCATAACCAAAAAAGCATGAAAAAGAAGATAGCTACACTGTACCGTTTGAACCATACAGTTCATGGGGCAGGTGGGATAGAGTTAACCTTTTTCAGTGTCCGAGGCATATGAACAGATAGTGTGGTCAGCTTTTAGACCAACCGCCTTTACTTTTACTGACTAGAGTCAGGGACCCTTCGGAGCTGAAGTTACACAGAGTCCATGTTTATGTCATTATAAGGATATACGTATGTAAATGTTAGATCCAATTACATATTCGCCATTGATGTTCACAGGTTAGCCTAGTTCGAAGTATGGTTATAGTGTTTATCTATGGCTACTGGTTTACGCTACGCTAATCGTTTCATACCTAATGCAGTGTAAAATTTGTAAATTTCAAAGGACGATTAAAGTTTGTCAGATTGTTTTAGAATATTTTGGACAATGACAATGTTGAGGAGCAAAGAGTTCACGTGTAACAGGTGGCTGTGAATAACGGGCAGTGTGGTGTAGATGTGCATGTGCTTGAAGCGCAATATGACGCTGAGAGTAGATTTTGTTGTGAGTTGGGGTAATATAAAAATTATTAAACACTACATAAATGGCCCGTTGAAGGGGACATACAACGGGAGGTAGGCTGTTAGTGTTGTCTTTTTCTCTAAACCGAAACAAAAAACCAAAAACACCATATAAACTTAGAATTAAACTTGAAAAAAAAATGTTATTAAAAACGATCTTTTCAAAATAGGAAATAGGATTTATATTAAAAATTGATACTTTTACCAGTGTCCGCCCACCACCCCAGAAAATTTAGCCTGCCAAATAATTCTGTGTCCCCTTCCCAGGAACAAAATATTCTGAAACACAGGTTGTACTGACCAAAGGTAGATCTGATATCTATAATCTAGACCCGTTTCCTACTTTTGGCCGCTAAACCTCAATCATAATAGTATGTGTTTTCGGTTTGATCCTTACTTAATTTATAAATCCGCGGAAACAAACATTGTATGCACAGAGTGCAACTTAAGAGAAGTAGGAAAGAACAACAAAGAGTATTTGCAAATAATATATGTCAGCCCACATGAATGAGTCCCTCTACCAGCTATAGTTTTATTGAAAGATCTCTTTTCTTTTTGGATTGATAAACTTGTAGTAGCTGTTGTCCGTGTTAATACCCGCATGTATGTGTTTACTAAGGGAACAGCTGTAGCTACAGCGTGTACATAAATACAGTTGATGTTAAACTAAGGACAATCATATATTTTCATGTTGGAAAACAAGTCTAATTCTTTCGCATTTGTAAATTTAAAAGGAAAAAGCTTATGGTTCGGACATTCAACATTCATTTAAGAAGAAAAAAAAACGTTAGAAAAATTATTTTTACTGTTGTTGAGAAGAAAAAAACCCAATAATGCTAACACACAGTAGCGTAGCGAGGTCGGGTATCACCCGGTGCGGCACTTAATAGTGTCACCCCCCCTCCCCAGAGGCGTAGCGACCCTTCCCGGGGACAAACTTTCAAATTTTTGATTTGCACCCCCCCCCCTTCTCGAATTTTCATTTGCATCCCCCCCTCAAATTTTTCTGTATATATTTTGCTATTTATTGCCTTGGTGTCACCCCCCTAAATGGTGACACCCGGTGCGGTCCGCACCCTCCCCCCCCCCCCCTCGCTACTCCTTTGCTAACACACCTTCACTTCAAATGAATACATTCAAAACATAGGTTACTTATTACCTTCTAAAAATGTAGGTGTGAAAATAACCGGATCAGTAGGTCTATACATTTTTAAAATTAAGTTTGTATTAAAGCACCATTATTGTAAGCTGATAGATTGATCACTCATACACTCACATTCTGAAGTAACACAATTTTTCTAGACTGTTTTGTAAAGATTCGGTGTATTCCTGAAACTAGTTAATCAACCGAAAATATAATCTATAATCACGAAGTAGACCTATAGCATTTGATTGAGTATATTTTGTGTTAAGTATTAAAGTATGTATGCTAATTAAAATGGTGTAGTTAATTTTAAAAGTCAAAATAATATATATATATATATATATATATATATATATATATATATATATATATATATATATATATATATATATATATATATTCAGGCAGTAAAACATTTCAAATGGCTTCTAAATGTGAAGTGAACATTTATTTATGTAATGTATCTTTTCTCTCTTTACTCCAAAATTTTTTTAAAAAAACATTACAAGAAATTTAGACTCTTTTTACAACCTCAGTATTAAGGTGTTCTCCATCTTATGCGCCCCCCCCCCCTCTCCCCACCCCACCCTCTTTCCCATCAATAGCAGTTTTTTTTCTGAGATTCCAGTAATCAGATAATATTTTGACATTATTCGAACGAAATGGAATCTATAAAGAAAGAATAATTTTGCCAGTGTCGCCCCCCCCCCGAAAATATCAAGTGCACCCTCGACCACCAGTGAAAATAACCCTGAATGAAACACTACCTAGAAAGTAACTAAATCAAACAAAAACAACTTAAAAACCTATTTACAAATTATATTTATGTAAAAGCCAAATATTATAAAGAAAAAACACAAGTATAAACAAGACACAAAAACAAGTATAAAATTCTACATGCACGTAGGATATTTCCATTGAAATATAGTGTATAATGTATGAGTTTACCAATTAACAAGTGGGGTATCTTGTGTAGAAATGTGTTTCTATTAATAGTAGTGGATCAAAAACATTTGCATAAAATAGCTAGTATTATATAAATCTATACATTTCTTTTTGTTTTTAATTTTTGCTGAAATTAGCATAAAGATAATTAAAGTTACAATAGACAAACTATTCCAATACAATATATAAAATACTCACTTTAGTAGTTTGTCAAAAATCTTTGTTTGATGTCATGAATGTCCTTTTATAATAAAATGTATTTTTGTATTTTTGAAAAAAAAAAACATTAAAAAATAAAAAAATATTTAAACCTATAAAAGTAATTTATTTTTGATTACAAAAATATAAAATTGCATAGCCAGACTTATGATTTTAAAGAAAGTGTATATAATTGATCGATACATGTGTAGCTTGTAAACGTATAACTTAACTGTAAAGAAATTAAAACTATTAAAAAAGTTTATTTTTATAAAGTTAGCAGTGGTCGCTGTCACTTTTAACTTTTCGTATTTTCAAAATAGCAAAAAGTTTTCAAAAGTTAAGATCTTTCTACATTAAGTATAATATAGATAAACACACGTTACATTTTTCCACAATTTACTCATACACTGATTTGAGAAAAAAAATATAGTATCATCTAGAGCAGCCAAACAAAAATTATGGAAATAAAATAACCGAAAAAGTGGAAACAATAATTAAAAACATGGCTGCTTATTTGGTGATTGTTCTGGCACGCAGGTTTGGGCGGCGTTGAATCAAAACTTGGACACTGTGGGTTCCAGCCGTAGTCGTTGCCATTTTCTTTGACCAGATAATCCAGTAACGGCTTGAAGTAGTCGATCAGAGGCTTAGCGTCCATTTTGTACTGGCCAGTGAGGACGTACATGGCTTCTGGCCAAGGCTTCGATGACCCAAGTCTCAACATTTCGCTGGAATTTAAAATTGTTTACATTACATTAAGTAAAATATGTAGCTTTTCTGATTAGTTTTTATTTAAATTTGCGATCTCTGTTTGTCGTGCATTGTCTTCAACATGTATCGAAATTGGCAAGCATAATTTCTACATTTTAAAACATTAATTCCTTTAATATTAGGTACGTAGGTCAAGACCCGATGACAATGCAATGTGACTTGATTTGATGCTTAATTATTTTTTTATAATGATTGATACATTTTTCCTATATAAAATACTAACTTTGTCCCACTATCAAAATATTTTAGTACGTTTACTTCCTGCGCTTTTCTTTTGAGCCATGTAATTTTACACTATAAAAAATTTAAAGTACATTTTTTGCAGTTTTATATTTTATTAATTTATATATTTAATTAAAGAAAATAATTTATCTTCCCTTTTTTTACTATTTTAAAAATGTATATCATATAATGCATATTTAATTAATTACAAGGTTAAACAGTTGCTACTAACCCTAACCTTAAAAACATGTAAGCTATATAGCGTCATATATTTCATAATTTATGATACCAGCACACTCGTTACCTTAGTTTGGCACCTGCTTGTGTGTTGTTGTAGATATCACACCTGTGTAGAGGACCTGTGTAGCCAGATATGTTACAGAGAGCTTGTTGGAACTGGAACTGGATGATAAAACTGACGAAATAGCTGGGGAATAGATGTGACAGCATGACTGCAGTGTGTAGCAATAGGAGGGCAAACGAGCTCAGCATCATTAAATTAACGTCGTTTTTAACACGGTCACCCAACAACAAATAATGAGCACAATATATATATATATATATATATATATATATATATATATATATATATATATATATATATATATATATATATATATATATATATATATATATATATAATGCATATATATGTGTATAATATGTATGATGGATAGATAGGTGGATACATAGATAATTAGTCTTAACAAACCTACCTCATATAGGGTGAATTGTTAGGGACGTGGAATTTGGCACCAGGGTCAAAGTGTGAGCTGTTTCTTGGAACAGGTGGAGACACACCTTGGTATCGGCACCTGGATATATATATATATATATATATATATATATATATATATATATATATATATATATATATATATATATATATATATATATATATATATATATACAAAATCCATTTACAAGTGTTATTTATTGAGGTGTTGCTGACATGTTAGCTTCCTTACCACCATTTTTAGAAAAAAACAATTATCTTACACATGTTTTAAAATTACCTGTATCCGCACAACTATTATAACCATTACATGTACACCCACAACATTTGCAACTATTACCTGTATTTACACTACTTTTTAAAAAATTACCTGTATTTACACTACTTTTTAAAAAAAATACCTGTATTCCCTCTACGTTTGTAGACATTTCTTGTATTCCACTACCTGTGTAAACCTTACCTGTATTCCCTCTACCTGTGTACGGATTACATGTACTCCCCCTACCTGTGTAAACCTTACCTGTATTCCCACCACCTGCTGTTGTAGTTGTCTTTAGTTGTCTCCCCACTAAAGACCTCCCACCTCCACTGGTCAATGAGGTAACCAAACGGGAGAAATGCGATCTTCTCCAAGGCCATGTTCATCAAGAAGTTGATGTCGGACTCTAGAATAAGATTTTTTTTATCTCTTTATTTCTTTATTTTATCAATTTGTTATGAATTTTTATTTAAAAGTTACTAGTTCTATACTTAATAACTGGTAAATCGCAGTTGCGATATTCCCCGACTAACGACTTATGTACTCTGGTTTTAGAATACCTTGCTGCCTGTACCTACCATTGTCGTGTCCCACGTCCTTGATCAAGTTGATTGACTTCATGTGTTCCTGGGTTTTCACAGACAACGATATTGTGTCGCCTATTGCTTCGTGAAATCCTGCAGTTAAATACAGTTAGTTTTTATTTTATTTCATGTGGCTAGATTAAAATTGAATCGTTGGTAACAAAAAAAAGTTTCATGTACATAACTTTTAAAAATAATGTATGATGTTTCTTTTATAAAACGTTTAAAATAAAACTATTCAGACAGTCAGTCACATGTAGAAACGGAGGATGCCCTAATTGTTAACATGATTACTAATACCTTATCATTTGATTCTTAAACGTACTTTAGTCAACAAAACGTTTTATGAGTTATACAAAGAAAAACGTCATAAAACAGAAAATATATTTACTTTTTATATTTTGGATGTAAAAGTTTTAGTTAAATAAAAGATAGGTTAAAAATATTTTAATTGATGAATAGCTCGTTTCAAATTATTTATTAATTTTTAATTTGTGCAACTCCTATATGATATATCGAAAACAAAACTTTAAATTATTAAATTATTTTTATTAATAACACATTGCCATTAGTTAAAGTAAAAGTGAGCAGAATGTAATTACTATTTTGTTTCACTTACATGATTGAAATATTAAATACAATTGATCCAATTTAGCCAAAACACAACACCAAACAATTAGATCTGGATGTTTTAGAAGTGAAGTGAGAATGACGCACTAACCTGGGTTGGCACCATCCCTGAACATGACAGGCTGATTCTTGTACTGCAGGAAATATTGAATGTGTCCCATCTCGTGGTGTGTGGTTGACAGATATTCGGCGTTTATCTCAGTGCACTGTTTGATGCTAGACAAAAAACATTTTCCGCATAAGGTGGTCACCTATAACATTACACAATTCTAATCACCGAAATACATAGTTTGCAATGTTCTATCATTGTTGTATATTGATTGCATTTATTATTTAGCATTCAATAATAACATAGCTTGTCAGAATTTGTAATTTTAAAACTGGAATTTATGGATTACCATCCGGACAAATTAAAGTTTATAAATCATATTGCGAATTATACATTGGCTTCACATTGGCTTCGTCTATACAAAAAATAAAATGATCAGCTTCCTTCCTTTTATTTATCTTTGATACAGCTATGTTTGAAGAAACATAAGTCAAAAAAAAAAACGTTTCAGTGAATATCGCTCTATTTAACACAAGAACGTCCCTGACTTAATCTGTTGGAAATTTAATTTATTAAGCTGCAAACAGTTGACGATTGTCTCAAAGATATAATCGTCCACTTGCGGTCTAGAACCTGACCCCGATACTACCTGCTCAGAAAACAATATCTTAGGAACCCGCATATTTGGAGAACGCCGTGTAGTTCTTCTTCTTCTGCGTTCTTAATTAAGTTTATGATGGAGGATTTAAACAACAAGTCCAGCTTCGTGAATGAGCTGGACTGTGGTCTCCAGATCAGCGGGTGCCCCATATAGTTTTTCTTTGAGTGGGGTGTATAGGGGCCAGTGTTTGGATCGCGCCTGGTTGTACAAGGGGCAGTCCTGAAGGATGTGCTCTGTATTCTCCGGGGCCACATGGGCAAGTTTCCACAGACCCAACTTTTAGTTTTTATGCATGTACTGTTTCTGTCTGTTGCGGCCTGTTCTGAGTTTGAAGATTATGTGTTGTTCTTACCGTGTAGTTTGAAGTTGATCTTTTTGTTTGAATTCCTCCTATATCATTATTATTAAGAACGACGATCAATAAATTAGTAAATAAAACTCACCGAAAATCTTTGGCGTTATAAAAATCCCAGGCAGAGGCGTGGCACACGACGTCTCGTCCATCTTTAGGTCTTTCCATCATGGATTTGTTCCAGAACTCCTCCGGCATTGGAATCATCCCCAGCGATCTGAAGAAATCATCGGCAGTCTGGAAAATCTTCATGGCTGTGTAGTTCTACAGATTGGTACACAAAACATTAAAGTTCTACAGATTGGTACACAAAACATTAAAGTTCTACGGATTGGCACACAAAACATTAAAGTTCTACAGATTGGCACACAAAGCATTAAAGTTCTAAAGATTGGTACACAAAACATTAAAGTTCTACAGATTGGCACACAAAACATTAAAGTTCTACAGATTGGTACACAAAACATTAAAGTTCTACAGATTGGTACACAAAACATTAAAGTTCTACAGATTGGCACACAAAACATTAAAGTTCTCCAGATTGGCACACAAAGCATTAAAGTTCTAAAGATTGGTACACAAAACATTAAAGTTCTACAGATTGGTACACAAAACATTAAAGTTCTACAGATTGGTACACAAAACATTAAAGTTCTACAGATTGTCACACAAAACATTAAAGTTCTACAGATTGGTACACAAAACATTAAAGTTCTACAGATTGGTACACAAAACATTAAAGTTCTACAGATTGGTACACAAAACATTAAAGTTCTACAGATTGGTACACAAAACATTAAAGTTCTACAGATTGGTGCACAAAACATTAAAGTTCTACAGATTGGAACATAAAGCATTAAGTAAACATTACTTGATCTTCATGGCTGTGTAGTTCTACAGATTGGCACACAAAACATTAAATAAACATTACTTGATCGTCAAAATTTAACTTCTACATAATGATACAACATATAACTAAATATTTTTGGAAATCTCAGACTTTAACAAGGTTAAAATTTACTAGCGTTAGGATGCATAGAGTAATGTTTAAATATGTAAATAACAATTTGCAATTATTAAAACTTACATATTATGTAAGTAACAAAAACCATTACCTGTTTGACCATTTCAGCTGAAACATCCATAGTGGGTTTTTTGCTAAAAGGTGCGAAAACTTCATAGAGATTGTTCCATTGTTGAGCCCACATGTTACCTTACGAGAGAGAAAAACTACTAAACATACAATGTTTCAAATAAATCACAAAATTCCTGTTTTTTCATATTTAGTTTTCTGCACTTTTGGATACTATGACTATATTTACTATAAATGTGCAGTAACTACGTGTTTCTTCTTCTTTTCTTCTTCGTTCTTAATTATTAGTGTTGAAGGGGATCGAGATTTATCTGCCAGTGGGTTTGAACTCGAGACTTTGTTCAAATTTATCAACCATGAGCTTTTTTGCCGACTCGACCACGCCTCCAACACAATTAAGCGTTACGTGTCAACTGGTTATGCGCCGAAGTAAAAGTTTTTTATCGGTCATTGTTAATATAAGATGTAAAAGTTATATTACTATTGATTAGATAATAATATTGAGTTTTATTAGGGAGCTTGTAGAGAGTCAACAGTATTAAAAACTGTAAGAAAATCACGGCGCCCCACGTTTTTCATGTTTTGTCATAATGCGCACGCAGTTTGCGATCGCTTATAGTGGAGTGATCGCTTGCATTATTGTGATGTATAGCATTTATTTTCTACTTTTTAGTTCAATCATAAAACGTGGGTTTTTTAAAACTTTTTTAATGATAATTATTTTCTACTTTTTAGTCTTTGTCTGTTTGTTTGCATTCAAATCTTGCTTTCGATTTTATCTTCTCGCATTCACTTTTTTTTTTTGGGTAAACGAAGACAACTCGTAAAAAAACACGCGCCTTTTTTTAATCGACGTTTCTTCTGTGTTGCCGTTTCTTTCACCATTTTCCCCTCGCGTGCAAACCATTCGACCATCAACATTCTACTTCCTGATCAGTCAGATTTGCATAGGTTTGTACACAAACACCGCGTGACCACTACTCAGCCAATCGCGTGCTCGCTCCTTCAGTAAGCGAGAAGAGGGAAAGTACCGAACCTTGTTTTATCAAATTACAATTACTAGGTTATGTCCCTTTTTGTACAAATCAATAGGGGTCTAAAATGATCAATACAATTTTTCCATGGATCAATTTAGTAATAATAATAATTGAATATTGTATTGTCATCGGAAACAAAGCTTCCCTGAAAATTTCAGCGCGCTAGCTAACTGGGAAGTGCCCGAAATTTCGATCGCAAGATTTTATTGGAAAAACAAACAAACAAATAAACAAATAAACAGACGCGAAAGCAAATTAAAGAAAACGTGGGAAAAACTAGATTTACTGGTCCTCAGCTCTTAGATATACTGCGATGTGCTATCCTTTTAATAGGTGGCTTGTCCTGTCAATCTAGTTTTACGACTCATCTCCCGTACTCTTCCTTACATGAGAGTAACTGTCCCTTACCTTACAGATGTGTTTGTATGTTCTCTCCCTTATAACCCTTACATTGGAGATACCGGCCCTTACCTAACAGATGAGCTGGGATATGACCAGAGTCAGGAAACTTGTCTTTCCCGTAGATCACCTTCAGCTTACGTCTGGCATATGCATGGAGATGTTCATACAAAGGTCGGACCTGCTCGTACAAGGCGCGAACCTCCTCCTTGAAGTTATCGTCGTCATAATAGGACCTCCAGTAGGCGCCGTAGTCTGCGTGACCTAGGAAACAAAAATATAATTAAAATATGATTAGAATTTGCTATACGGTAAAACGTAATGTTTTTTTTTTTTCTATAAACACAGTTTAACACGATACCTTTTTTTCTTGTGAAATATTGTAGTTTTAAAAAACCACTGATTTTCATTATTCATTATATATATATATATATATATATATATATATATATATATATATATATATATATATATATATATATATATTTTTTTTTTTAATCGTACCCAGAATTCTTACGGCCTCATTGCTAAGGGCAACATATTCAGAATATAAATCTTTCATCTTAGCACCAGAAGCATCTCTCCAACCCTGCCAAGCTTTCAAAAGTTCTGTGTAGTTTCTTGACTTGGCCAATATTTCCGTGAGTTCTGTAGCAGACAAAGTAATAAAATAACTGGAAACTTCGAAAACATGAATAACTCAAATTTAACAAAAATGTAGTTCAGTAATTTACCTCTAAGTTTTTTTTTTATTATTCAGTTATTCATTTATTAATATAATTAAAATATTACAATTCAGTTCTAATAACTTGGCAACAACTTTATGTGTTTTGATCAGAGGCGTAGCGAGGGGAGGGGACGACATATGTCCCCGGGCGCCGACCAAATTGAAAGTTTGAGGGGGGGGGGGGGAGGTGCAAATAAAAAGTTCGAGGGGGGTTGCAAATCGAAAGTTTGAGGGGGGGGGGGGTGCAAATGAAAAGTTCGAGGGGGGGTGCAAATCGAAAGTTTGTCCCCGGGCGCCGGGAAGGGTCGCTACGCCTCTGGTTTTGATTTTTAATAACGAGCAACCTGAAACACCTATTCTAATATTGTTTATGTTCAAAAAGTGTTTCTAGGATTTTACTTGAGTTTTGTTGTTTTTGTTGTAGCCAGCTCTAGGTATAACACGAAAAGACTTCCGGTTTCCAACACGCGTTCTTTTTTTTTCATTAGACAGAGTGTTATCAAATGTTTTGTGATTAAAAATATTTTTTAAATTCGGCGTTATAACATGAATATTGACTTTCAGAACCACAACATATAGCATTTAAAGACCTTAACGTTGAACATAATTAAGACACAAAACAAATTAATTAAAGATAGAAGATTTCTAGCTTTAAAATAGGCTACACGTTGCGTTTTATTTCAAGATTGTTTTAAAGAAGGGGGAAAAATTGACTATAACATCAATATCTGCAGAACAGTTTGTTTAAAACTACTGCATGAACAAACAGGGCTTGAATTGATTTTACACAAAAGCTTCACATAAGTACTTTTAGGCTCTTCACTAGTTGGTATAAGATGGACATAAACCCCGCCCATACCTGGATCAAGGTGAACACACCTGTTGGTATAAGGTGGACATAAACCCCGCCCTTACCTGGATCAAGGTGAACACACTTGGAGGGTTCCATACAGACGGTGGCGGTGCTATAGATAGACGACATACTGCCCAACACTTTTTGAAGCTGAAATAAAAAAAGCACACTATTTATAAAGTTTGAGTGAGCTCCCCTAAACTTCCTTGTGTATTCTTTTACAGCTGTACCAATAGATAGAAATAGTAAGTGAGTTTGTGACAATACCACTCATGTTTCGAGAAAATACGTTTTCTGCAGCTTCATGCAAATATATTATAAATTCTTAACGTTGTTTTTTTTTAATTTGGAGAAGTCAAAACTAGAGTTCAATACCACTTGCGGTTAACGGAAATCGCTCAAATGCAGTGTTTCTTCCAGACTTTTTTCTCCAGAGGGGCACTTGATATTTTCAAAGAGGGGGGGGGGGCGACAACATTTTCCGGGGGGGGGGGGGCGGACACTGATAAAAGTGAGGCGGTAGACTTTCTTCGAAAGGATGCCTGAAAGAAACTCTGTTCAAATGTTTATACAAACCTACGCATAACAACTCAAACACGAAATGTCGTCACTCTAACTAAAACGTTGTCAAACATTTGGGCATTTTAAAAAAAACACTCAAAACTAGTAAAATACCAGTCTACATAACGGAAATTAATAGAAATCAAATTATAGGATCTAATACTTTTATTTGAATTTGTGTCTACCTTGCTGAAACGGAAGTCATGTTTTCCGGTTATCGGAAATCCCTCAAACCTGCGTATACAATCTAAAACATATATATGACATATATGCCAACTTAGACGATAATTCAGTTATCGCTTTTTTATGAAACCGGAAATAGATGGAATACCACTTCCTTTTATTCAAAATCTATCAAACATTGACAGAAGTTCTCAAACTTTAAGCATACAAATTGATGTTCGATGATAATCGAAATTCCATCATATGAACCAGTCATTTTTTACAGAATAAGTACAGATAACTTGACCTAAATTCCACTCACCCTAACCAGTTTCGTCTGGTTTGTCTGTGCCGAGGTACCGATGTCCATAATCTTATGGAACTTACGTTTCTGTATGTCATTCATGAGGGTCTGGTTAAACTGTGAGGCATTGTTGTAGGCGTCTTGTTGGAAGTTGGAGGTTTTCACTTTCTGGTTCACCTGAGATGGAGATTGTTAATAGAAATTACGTACTGCTAACACACACACACACACACATATATATATATATATATATATATATATATATATATATATATATATATATATATATATATATATATATATATATATATATATATATATCGATTTGTAACCGTTTTGTATAATGAATTATAATATGTTTTAAAGTTAGCTTACAATCAACTTTTGTTAATAACCTATGATCTAGGCCCTGTCATGTTAATTTCAGCATCAACTTTTTTTGTTGGTGTCGTAGTTCCACTTACCATCAACTTTTATAATCTGTGATGCTGGTGACGTTTTTCGACTTACCATCAACTTCTCATTGTAATCTGTGATGTTGGTGCCTTAGTTCCACTTACCATCAACTTCTCATTATAATCTGTAATGTTGGTGTCGTATTCCCACTCCGACGACACGTCAGCAAACAGCACCCTCTGAGCCTCGTCATTGTACCAGTCCAGGAAGTCCTCCACGTCTGTAGTGTTGGTCTGACCTTGACCCCAACGGACGAGGCCGAAGGTCACGGCCAACATTAAAATCATGCTGTTTGAATAGTTTGTATTCGACGGTCTCTGGAGAGTTAAATAAAAACCGTTCGCATAGGTGAGAATGATATGTGAGTCGTCCAAAACCGATTTCAACATCCCCCCCCCCCCGCCCACTAGCTACAACTGTCACTATAATTTCAGATTAAGCGAATCCCCCTCCCCCCCCCCACCCATCCTGCATTTACAAATCGGAATGTTATATAAAAAAAAAACATATATTCTTAATTATCTGCAGATAAAAAATAGATAAACGTGCATTGATCGTCTTCATGCTCTTTGTAATGCTCGATAATTGTGGTTAATTATCGATGATTCAAATTTTAATAACATTTACAACCATTAATGTTTAGTTGTTTATTATATAGTGAATAGTGGATAACTATTTTTTTTTCTTTTTTTTTTTTGCCTCAGACATGTAATTTACAGCGTCAGAATAGTGGATAACTATTTTTTTAATTTTTTTTAATTTTTTTTTAAATAAAAAAAATTCTTTTAATGTTTAAAGTTTGAATCAAATTTGTATACAGGAGCACTATTATTTTTTTCCCCATATTCTGGGATCCAAAATTACATATTTTTATTGTTTATAAACTTTTAACAGACCTGAGGTACATAATAACTAAACTTAATTATAATTGAAAATATTTAATTAATATTTAGTAGTATCAATTTATTATTTATCCAAAATATCTATGACAGATTTTTAAATATTTTTTCCGTATTAGCTTCGTGGAAGTTCACTGATTAGGATTGCATGTTAAAACATAAAATAATTTGTGTTTTAGAAATTCCAAATGCGTTTTAAAATACAGTGTGCACATCTACATTTCACATAGCAGTTCTACTCTACTGTATTATCTCCCTGCGTGAAAAATAAAGTTTCATATGCCTATATGAGCAACACCATAAGATAGTTGAAACAAACCATCTAGAAACCTAATGCCAATATTAACGCCATACAACAACATAATATAGAAAAAAAAATCGTTTGGTTTCAAAACGATTAGCAACATTATCAACATAAACTAAACTACAGGGAAAATAATACCCTAAACCAGTGGTTCGTAACACCGAACCACAACATTTTTATTTGCACATTCATCGAACCCTACTTTAATAGTTATATCATCCGCACTGACAAAATATCATCCTGAATATTGTGAGTCTGGTGTGTTAAGAACCACTGCTGTAGTGCTAAGATGATTAATTCTCAAACAAATTACTAGAGTATATATAAACGAACATAATTATAAACTTTATAAGGATATACTCACTTCTTTAAATTTCTCTTTAATATTCATCAAACCTCCAGTCCAAATATAAGCTACAGTCTACTTATACAGCGATGTTAACCCCGTTTTAAAAAATGTTTAAATAGCCTCACACCCATTGGACAATCGCTGAACACTAGCGACCCACGTGACTGTTAGGTAGACTACATAAACCAAACAGAGCGAGACAAAAAACGTGTTTGCTTTATACGACACTTTCTAAAGTAGCTCTATCAAGTGCGAGTCCTTCATTCTGTTGACTTTGTGAAGCCGGGGGGCATTGGCTAATGTAATGTTTTAGACCAGAGGTTCCCAAGTTATGGGATACTGACGGTGTTTTGAAGGTAGCCAACTTGTAGACTAAACCAAATCTAAATATTCACTTGCTAAAGTATGTCGGTCGCGGGTCACTTTTATAAAAAGGGGACAGCACTCGAAAAAGTTTGGGAACCAGTTTATACCATATCTCTTTTCTGACAAGGTGTAATTGTATATAGTCTATCATCAACCTTATATTACGAGAAAAATGGCCCGTTGAGGAAGGATACACCGGGCGCTAGGTTGATAGTGCTGTCTCTTTTCTCTAAACTAAAACCAACCCACCCCCCACACACACCACCCCCCACCCCCACCCCTCCCCGGGGAGGAAAAAGTCTGAAAGAAACACTGGTGTCGCGCTTAGCCACTACGCGAAGAATTGCATTAAAGAAATTGCGAGAAAACTACTTTTTAGATTAGACACATTAATTAGGCGGTAATTTTATTATAGAGTATCGATGAGGAAACCAATCCCCCCACCCCCCCCCCCCACCCCCACCCCCCCACCCCCCACCCCCCCACCCCCCACCCCCCACTTCCAAAAAAATCATGTCTACCGTCCCATTCAACGAAATATAATTATATACTTTTTCCAGTGTCCGCCCCCCTTCCCGAAAATTCTACCCCCGCCCCCGAAAATTTCAATTACCCCCACCCCTCTCCGGGGAGGAAAAAGTCTGAAAGAAACACTGGTGTCGCGCTTAGCCACTACCCGAAGAATTTCATTAAAGAAATTGCAAGAAAATCACTTTTTAGATTAGACACATTAATTAGGCGGTAATTTTATTATAGAGTATCGATGAGGAAATTTCTTTTGAGTTGGGGAGGGGGGGGGGGGCTCAGACGTTCTTACGCGGAGGGGGGGTGGGGCTTCGCCCCTACCCGAAGAATTGTATGCAAGAAACTCTTCACGCAAACCATTTAGATTAGACAACATTTCCTTTTTATTCAATGTTTACGCGATAATCAATGACGTCATTACATTACTGTGTGCACTCTCTGGTTTGAGATTATGTTCTACTCTACGCTAAATGTGTCGACGTCATATTTCGTTTTTCGAATTACTGTGCATGTTTTTAAATTGCTTGTGTTTTCTCTAGAGCGTTCTTGTCAGACAGAGCGTTCTTGTCAGACAGACAGCGAAACTATTATTATAGATTATAGGTAATCATGTGAAGCCCCTAGAGGCTTAGAGACTCAGTCACTGCTCATTATCAGAGTCATTTGTCAGGTCTGATTAGATTTAGAATAGTGTATGGCATGTGCCATTTATATGGCCCCAAAGAGTAATATAACATTGTATGAAAGCGCATCGAACTCGGGACTTCCCGGTTAGCAACCATGTGCTTTTCCGCCCGACCACTCCTAAGAGGTGGGAAGTTAAATAACATTGGCAAGGGTAAGTACATTTTTACTTAATGGAAAATTTAGTTCATTGTTTACAAAACAGCATTAAGATTTTTTAAAACACTTTTTTTTCCTATATATTTTTTTTTCAGCACCCTATGATACGGTCTAAAAAGATACATATGTCAAAGTTATTCACAAATTACCTCGTATGTATGTACATATCTGTATATTTCTGTGTTTGTGTGCGCTTATTGTTACATAAACGTTGTTTTTATTAATTGGATAAATAATTAATTAAAATAAAATAAAAATTCCAAAATTGAAAAAATTCAACTTTTTTTTTAGCTGTGGCCTACTTCACCTCAAATATCGTCCTTCAAACCATTATTGAATGCGACACTAAGGTGAAAAGCACATCATCTTATGCTGGTAAATAACTCTCTTTAACCACTTCATGTGGTTTATTCACTACGTGCCGCCCGATCTTTTACTGTCAGTTACCTGTGACCTTCTGAAATAAACTTGTGAATTCTTTTCATTGTCGGTTAACAGTTGTTTGATCAAAGGCTTAACCTACACCGTCTACAACGTCTATACAAGAAGGACAACCTTTATTGCCTCTTTATTGTGTTTAAAAACCTACAAGACAAATAAATTTTGCATGTGATTTCTGGATTTTAAAATGTGATGAAAAGTATTGAGAAATGTGTTATACCAGTACTGTAGCACTGAAAGAATGTGAAATAGTTTCAAATAATGTGATCATAACAAAATGGTCGATAATCTTAGCTACAATGACCAAATGTAGAGGAAAGTTATTGTAACATATGGGCGTTTTACTTGAACCATGTAAAGGATAACAATATGAAGGATAATCGCCAATAACAAAACTTTAGTAACGGAGGGTTCATAACAAGTTAACTTTTTTAACGGAGGCTCACACACAATAAACACGGGGACGGAGTGGTCTAACGGTAGAGAGCTGGTCTGCTAACCCGTAAGTTACGAGTTCGAATCCGAGTTCAAGTCAGTAGACCGTCCCTGAGTCCCCCCAACTCTGATGGGTACCTAACTTACGTTAGGGAGAGTAAAGGCAGTTGGGCAAAGTGCTGGCCTCACTATCTCTTCATATGCCGAGGTCACAGTTACAAGTGAACTCTACTTCATTTGCCCTATAGATCGTTAGGTTTGAAAGGGAACTTGACTTTTACATACACAAAAAATACTGTTGTAGCAGATATTTACGAACTTGAAACCTTTTCTAACGAAAATTCACGAACAAGAAGTGATACCATAAGAACCTTCACAACGTCAGCAAAAACTGGAGTCATTTGATAATAAAGGGACTTAATCAAGTGAAGATTAGTGTAGAACCAGAGTTATGTTTAATTTAAGACATTTAATTAATAATTTAAAAATAACGAAACCAGAAAAAAATACAAAACTAATTTAAATTAGACGCTATAACAAACGATGACTTAAATACCAATCTATAAAATAACTCCTTTCGAGTAAGTTTTATTTTAGCCTCATTTATCTCCCTTTGGCTAGACATTCATGCACACACTTTCATCTATACAAGTCTAAACAGGGAAACACTTGAAGCACAGGCAGCTGACGATGTATATTTACACAGCCGTAAACTACAAACTTACACAATTTTTAATGTCACCCCATCCATACGTTACGCCTCGTGCCATTGAACCAGGGCTAGCTGACGATTTATATTTACACAGCCGTAAGCTACAAACTTAAACTTACACAATTTTTAAAGTCACTCAATCCATATGTGTTGCCAGTTACTGTGTTAGGCCTTACACGGTTTTATATGTAATATTGTTTGCTTTGCTGAAAACGTTATTTGAAATAAGTATTTTTTTTATTTTTTATAAAAATGCAGTGAAGATGTCTAGAGTATACTAAGAGATTTAGGTTGGAGGTTGCGTTGGGTGCAGTACATAGTTCTAGAGTTAGGTTTCAGCCCATAGACTTACGTTGTCATATATATATATATAAATATATTATTATATATATATATATAAACATATATATATATATATAAACATATATATATATATATATATATATATATATATATATATATATATATATATATATATATATATATATATATATATATATATATATATATATATATATATATATATATATATATATATATATATATATATGCGTGTGTGTGTGCAGAGATTCTTCCAGGCATATCTTCAGGTGGAGGGGGGCGGGATTGATGGAATTTGTATAGAAATTATATTCTTCTGCAGATTTTGTTCGATTTTAAGGTTTTCTCTCCTAGATAGGTTGCTGTCCTTTGCTAACGAGCCTCATCTCCTCTGTGATCGGAACTCATCATCTTATAGTAAGCAATCGTACGCGCTATAACCCGACAAAGTGGTCCCATATTCTATCAGCTTTTTGTATTTACCGTCAAGTTGGAATTAAATACTAAAACACACACCAACGCTCTACCTTTCAAATCAAGCAGAGCATATCGACATTATTCAAATCCAAATACTCTTGCCATCAAATAGCGCATGCAATGGGATTGCAACTATATTACACAAATAGATCATTAAAGAAAACAACAGAAAGCTTGGAGCTATGTTTACCAAAGACACGAGCTGATCTGCAGGCTGGAAGTTGGATGCAATATTTGTGTAGGAATACATAGTCATATACAATATTTGTGTAGGAATACATAGTCATATACAATATTTGTGTAGGAATACATAGTCATATACAATATTTGTGTAGGAATACACTCTCTTCCATTATGTGACGTAACGTGTAACGAGTGGCTGGCCATGGTATCTCGTCTTTATGTTACATTCTTCATTTGTGCTTCCTCCAACCGTAACAGGTCACCTTTCTTTACTTACATCAACTCATTTCAAAACCCTCTGTGTCCTGTACTCTAAATATAAAAACCATTATAATAATACGTTTTAAATGCACTGGAAATAAAATAAAAACTTTCTACCGCCATAAAAGCATCGGTCGATAATATTTGTAAGAAATTAGTGAGCGCCCATTGAAATGTTTTTTTTTACTTCTGATTAATTTGTTCTTATTGATGAATACCCTACATAGAATTAAAATAATGTTTTAAAGACTGACCAGTATCTCGCGATCTCTAAAAGACATTTCCTATTCCCCTTCTCAACGTAGTTAATCCCTTTCAGACGTGAAAACCAATCATCCGTGACCTCCAGTTCACCGTAGAAGCCAGGCTGATCCAGAGGTCATTTGAAAAATAACCTATTGCTATCTCCCTTGTCATTATTCAACAAATATTCCTTTACTCAACTACATTTTACTTATTTATCGACCTTTTTTATCAAAATAAAACCTTGCTATTGTTGCATTGTCTGCTGAGACTAGTACATGAGTAAATTTTAGACTGCATTAGAATTGTGTCAAATATCGAGGGACCAGATTAGCCACTAACCCACCAACAAACAAAAAAACGTTTTTGAATTTAAATAACTCTAAAAATAATACTCAGAGATATTCGAGGAGCTAACACTGTATTACTTTAAAAAATCAGCTTACCCCTAGCTTACTTCCCCTTTTTTTAAACGTAGTTTATGATTTACGAATGGATTATCCTTTTTCTACATTCTTGTTTAGGAAGTATAGAGGAAGTATTTTAATTATACGAAAAGTCGATAAATCTCAGCGTTTTACACCACCCTGAGTCGGAAAAAATCTTATTATTGATGTCTGTCAATAGACTGTTCGGAAAATGGGTGTGTATATTGTTCATGGTATTCCATTTTAAGGTTAAGTTGTATGGTCATGTATTAGAGTTAGGGAAGGACTTAGGGATAGGGTTAGCATTGAGATGGACGATTAATACTTGTATTCAGTAATATAACACTCTGCCCTCTTCTTATGCGACGATTCCATTTTTGTGGTATTATCAGACACTACAACAACATATAAATCATCAGTAGCGTAGCGAGGGGGGGGGGGGGGACATATGTCCCCGGGCACCGACCTTAGGGGGCGCCAAAATGGGTTGGAAAAATAAATTGAAAGGTCGAGGGGGGTGCAAATCGAAAGTTTGAGGGGGGGGATGCAAATCGAAAGTTTGAGCGGGGGGGGGGGTGCAAATCAAAATCTTGAGGGGGGTGCTAATCGAAAAGTTTGTCCCCGGGCGCCGGGAAGGGTCGCTACGCCTCTGTAAACCATAAAGGCAAGCAACACAACTGACGCTAACAACTTGAGCGAGGTCAAACCACGTGACTCTGACCACCTGAATTACCGGTAATCTGATTTCTAATTGGTCGATATGTTTGACCAACCCATATCTCCGTTGAATATCAAGTTACTAATGCTTACGTGCTCGTGTTAAGGATTTGTGTTTTACATTAAAATGTATGCGAATAATACATCTGTTGTCTTGCATCATCATTAAATAAAACTATAACTATAAATTTCTATTAAAATATACCTTAACATTTCAAAAGTAAAATTGAACCAATTTCTTGACAGCACCAAAAAAAATTTCGGTTTAAATTTTTAAATGATAAGAAGTATCGTTACATATAAATCAACAGCTTAATGGTTATATCAACTAAGGAACTTAGTGCTCCAATTGAACTTCACATATTCAAAGATGTTTCTTGTAATTATTTTGTTTTTGTTTATAATATAATCTATAACTTTTTGTTTTAATGTAGCTACATAACGATCTTACTTGTCTGTCTGTTCATTTGTCTGTCCATTCTCGTCTAACACATAGGATCCGCTTTTCTTCACCCATCTATCCTACATCTGACTGTCTATACGTGTCTGTCTATTTTTGTCACACCACCTAGCTTTCTTATTTCGCTTTTCTAGCTTGATTTGTCTTTACTTCATCTGCATGTATCACTTCTCCTGCATGTATCTCTTCCTTCACCTGTCTTACTTCAACTGCATTTATTACTTCCCCTGACCGAATTAACCTGCCTGTATTACTCCCCCTGACTAACTTAACCTGCATTTTTTACACCCACTGGCTGAATTAACCTGTTTTTATTACTTCCCATGACCTTCTTGACCCGCCTGTATTACTCCCCCTGACTAAATTAACCTGCCTTTATTACCCCCCCCTGACAAAATTAACCTGCCTGTATTACTCCCGCTTGCTAAATTAACCTGCCTGTATTACTTTCCTGACAAAATTAAATTAACCTGCCTAGTCACTCCCCCTGACGGAATTAACCTGTATTTATTACTTCCCCTGACCCTCTTAACCTGCCTGCATTACTCCCCTGACAAAATTAACCTGCCTGTATTACTCCCCCTGACTAAATTAACCTACCTTTATTGTTCCCCTGACTAAATTAACCTGCATGTTTTACTACACCAACCTGCCTTAGTTTGGTTGTTCAACTAACAGAATCACCAACCTACACCAACCCGTCTTAGTTTGGTTGTTCAACTAACAGAATCACCAACCTACATCATCCACATTTTAAATCGTGCCGCTAACTGTAACGTTATACATGCACTTTTATCTCCAAATCTCCAGATTTAAAAAATAGAGCTAAAATAACGCACACCTTTCCTTTTTAAACTGTATGTAAACTTGCTTGCATTAATTATACAAACAACCCTCGTTACTTAAATGAATACCAAGAACGAACTAAAAACCTGCTTGACCTAATACCACACTTCAGTCAGGTAATTTTTCTTGAAAGGCTCAGGTATAAAACAGGGAGAGATTCGGAGATAAATCACATCATTTCTTGTTGAGCTTAAAAAGTTTGTTTTGAAAAATTCGTCATGTTTCTGCTAGTACTCTGTTCAGTCCTGGCTTATGCATATGCTGGTAAGAAAACATTCTTATACAAAACCAGAGATTTACTTATTGCCAATAAGATGGCGTGGCCTAGAGGTAGAGAGCTAGTCTGCTAATCCGAGTGTTTCGAGTTCGAAACTGGGTTAGTTCTCTGAAATTAACTTACATTCGTATACATTGATGAAATTGTAATTACTCGTACATTGATAGCAAACACATAAATAAACAATCTACAGATATATACGTGTTCTTTCTTTTCTTTTATAAGTAAGTTATTCATTCTATAAAAAAAAAAAAAAAACTAAAATTTTCTAAAATTTAGAAGAAACCAGAGTTTTATTCTGAAATCTCTTTGGGAGAGTAGTTCGCCAATGAGCAGCCCCCCCCCCCCAACCTCCCTACAATAGAGGAAGAAAAAATATTTATAAAAAATTCATATACTTAAAAGGTGCGACCCCCCCCCCCCTCCCGTAAGTTGTAAGTCCCCCTCCTAACACACTTATACTTAGAAAACTGAGAGAATGATCTAACAAAAAAACTTTGGTTTCCTCTACCCTCTAGCACCCAGAACCTGCCATGGTGACGTCATGCAGCTCCACCCCACGGGCAAACACACTGGGGGTAAGTGCAGGTGTCGCTGATGTGTCGTTGATGTGTGGTTGTTGTGTCGTTGTTGTGTCGTTGATATGTGGTTTATATGTGGTTGATGTGTTGTTAATGTGTCGTCCCATATGACTTGTTGACTCTGTCATTTGTGTGATGTCAAACTTGACATAACCAGACATTAACATTTGAATTTCTTCTGTTGACATTTTATTTTCACTGAAACATTTTTTGATAATACGAATAATGACAATGTTTAAGTAAGGTACCAAGACTCGTTTAGTATCACACTTTAGGCTTAAGTTCCTCATATGAGATTAGCTAAACTTTTGTTTTTGACTTAAACTTCGTATTTTTAAACCCTTATGTTTACTAAGTTAAGTTGGATTTTGAACCCCTGTAGCATACAGAGAGAATTTGAACTTTAAACACATTGGCTTTACTAAGTTAACTTTTGCTTTTTAACACTTTTAGTTTACTAAGTTAAATTTGTTCGTTGAAAACCTTTATGAAACAAAGTTAATTTTGTCTTCGAACAGCTTCGGTTTACTAAGCTAACTTTCCATTTGTACGAATTCGGTTTATTAGGTTTACTTGACCATTGCGAAACTTCAGTTTACTTGGGAACAGTTAGTCATTGGCTAGCACATTTAACTTGTGTTTAATTCTGCTTTGATTTACAAATGTTTGTCAGGTTTAGCTTATCTTTTGTTTACGATTTGAATGCCCTTTTGTTCAGGTGTCGCCGCTTCAAACGCCGAGGTCCAGCATGACCTACCTGCTTTAAACAACCACAGGCATTGTTATCAGGCAACCGCTGACAACAACTGTAAGTAGGTCAAATGACGGCATTTTTAACTGGGTCAGTTGACACTGAATGAGAGTAGGTCAATTGATCGTAAGTTTTAAGAATTAAGTAGTTAACTCAAACATAACTGTAAGCATAACTTTAATATTAACTTGTAAGCATAGTTATAGCTTTAGGTCAATTTCACCACAGCTGTACGAAGGTACTTTCGAAATATACTTAAAAGCAAGTTACTTAATCGTAACTGTTAACAGTTAAGGATTAAATAGGAGTGGTAGGGAATGTTAGTTAAGTGGATTTACTTTCTCATCACTTGTTAGTAATACACATGTAGAATTTTATTTCTCTATAATTTATTATAAAAACAGGAAAAAGCCGAGTTGAAAAAAAAATTAACTGTAAATTTTTTTTTTATCGAGCCCTGTTTACAATCATGTTTGAAAAAAAAATTGTTGAATAAAATTGAATTTGTGATGTTGTTGTCAGGTATCCAAGCCTCCGTCATCGCCGCCATCGCCAGCAGAGAGTCCAGAGGCGGATCCCTGCTTGTTTCCACTGGAGGGTACGGTGACCACGGCGCCGCCTGGGGCATCATGCAGGTCTGAGACCATCTCATTAGACCGTGTCCATGAGATTTCAAGAACATCCGGTTCTATTGTATGAACGTGTTCTATATTAGCACCATTTAAACTGGACTGTGAGTTTTGACGATGATTTAATTTGTCCACAGTGTGACATTACTCACTCTGGTCTGCCCTGCAAATCTGTGCCCTGGGACAGCTGTGAGCACATCGAGATGATGGTCCATAGACTTCTGGTGCCTTACATCAACCAGGTCAGTAGGTCGGCTTAATGGGGAGGGGGGCGGGTTGTAAGTGTGCTAGAGCTGTGGGTAGGAGACGTGTCTGTGACGATGGTTGGCATTTCGAAACGAAGGTCTATGTATTTGTTGTGAAACCTGCAACTTGTCATTAATATCGATCATGTATACATCTTCTACATAATACATATTATATATATATATACGTATATGTATATATATATATATATATATATATATATATATATATATATATATATATATATATATATATATATGTATCAGTTACGCAATACATCGGTAACAGTTATATATATATATATATATATATATATATATATATATATATATATATATATATATATATATATCAGTTACGCACTATATCGGTAACATCTATTTTTAGGTTCATGCAAAACATCCATCCTGGAGCCAACATCAAGCTTTACAAGGTAAAATAATTTTTCTTTCAAAATAGTCGAATCATTAATAATTATAAGCAAAATACAAGTTCCCCTTTAAATTTGTTAAAATGTATCGCCGTTACATTTAACTGTCAAGAATAAATGTTAGAATAATCAAATTATGTGTTTTTGAATACGTAGCGTACATTTACCATCTGGGTTTGATCCTGAACTAGAGACTATATGCGACTGCAACACAATTAAATGTACATCCTCTCATATGCCCCGTCGTAGCGCTTGTACGTGGAGACCTCACATAACATTATTTCCGTTTCCAGTTAATTCCTCTGAAGTTCCCCAAGACAGTCTGACTCTTGTTTGCCGTTTCTAGGGCGGGAGTATCCAAGTCTCCCTTGGCAGTGTATTTTATTTCCTACCGAGTCCAATTTAGCGCTTTTATTGGAATGTAATTTTAGTTCATCCTCACCATGGCCCCGCCACACCATAGGTTTTCGATTACTTTTGAAAAGGCTGGCATCTGTATTTCTCTTAGTAACTTATCGGTTGAATATTGTGTGATCTGTACATAACTTTAATCCATCGCATACATCCAGTAATCGGAGTACTTACCAGCGTTTACGGACATTGAGAGAATTATAGGTCATCACCATCAAGCGATAATTATTAAGAGACTATAGCAAAGACTATTATTCTACAATACAATTTCTTTATCACTTATGAAAAAGCTGCATATTCTAATAACATACTGATATAAGGGTGATTGTTTTAAGCAGGTTTACGTGTTGTCCTGCTTCTGTTCCTTTATCAATCTTCACGTCTAGATGTGTAAATAGCACCATTACTGTCTTGTTCATCAATTTATCTAACACATGGTGGATGCGTTTTTTTGTCTATGTTGCTATGTATAGCATCGTTTGTTGTTAGTTTTGTGGTCCAATCCCTTCCTAGAGTAGAGAGTTAATTAACTAATATAAAGTAAAGTAAAAGTAAATAATCCTTGTGAGATCTAGCGATCCATTGGGCAGTTGAAGTAGAGTTCATATTTTTCTTGACCTCAGCTTACGAAGGGAAGGTGTGGTCAGCACTTTGCCCAGTAGAATTTACTTTACCTTACATGAGTTAGATACTCGTCAGAGCTGGGTGAACTTAGGGACATTCTACTAACTTGGACCCGGGTTCGAACTCAAGACCTTCGGGCTAGCAGCCTTGCGATCAACCTCTTAGGCCACGCCGTCCCATAATTAACCTAATGTGCAATCATTTTTCTTATGTACGTAAATATGACACTTGGTGTTCCCCGGGGTGCCCCCCCCCCTACTCCACAGTAGCTACGCCAATGTGTTCATCTATTGATATTTTCTCCCGTCTGCCTACAGGTGGTTGTGCCGCCTATTGATATTTTCTCCCGTCTGCCTACAGGTGGTTGTGCCGCCTACAACTCTGGCGTCAGCAACGTCCAGACATGGGGTGGACTTGACATCGGCACCACCGGAAATGACTACAGCAATGACGTCATCGCCAGAGCCCAGTGGCTCCACCACAATGGCTGGAACTAGAAGAGTTTTCCTCCCTCGCAGCCGCCTCGGTTTTAATGTGTAAATAATTGATGAATTTACGTACACAGCTATTAAACTGTACACACTTCAAATGTCTTCAGTATTTGTCTAGATAACAAGAATCCACCTAGATCGACACAATGTTAACAGCTTTTAACATTTTCTTGACTATGTGTATTGTCGTACTTATCTTCAAGTTCTATACATAGGCCTACAGATCAATATACTAATATCATAGTCTCGAATCAAATGTGTGTGTGTGTGTTTGTGTGTGTGTGTGTGTATGTTGAGAGAGAGAGAGAAAGATATAGAGAAATGTGTGAAGTTTCATTTTTAGCGGTGCGCAAGATACTTATATTTACACCGCAGCACTAAAAAGCGCTAAAATGATACAATCTCACGCAAACTTGTAAAGTAAATCGAAAGCTTAGGCAAACCACTGATAAAAACTCGATAAATTCATAAATCATGACTAGCCAATACTTAAAGATGAACAAACACCGAATGGACAGCTTTACAGAGCTGAAGCTATTGAAAGAGATTATGTTGTACGGTGAAACTAGTAAGTTTAGTTTAGGCACTAGCGTCTAGCATGTACCATTACATTCCTTAACAGGACATCCCAAGTTAAGATAGACAACTCAGCTTTGAAATAAAATTAAAGCTGGGTTTGGGGGGGGGGGGGGGGGTTGTGTTCCCTCCCACACCGAAAAACGTCTACCGCCCCCCCCCCCCCCCTCCGAACGAAATAAAATTCATATTAAAAAAATATTTACTTTTACCAGTTTCCGCCCCTCGGTAATTTTAGTCCGTCCCCCCCCCCCCCCCCCGCCGAATTTTTTTTTCAAGTGCCCCACCCCCTAGGAGAAAAAAGTCTGGATGAAACACTGGTTGTCAGACTATCAAGGTATGCCTCTTTTTGACTTCGCCTCTCTCTGCCCTCCCTCCCCCCCCCCCCCTTCTCTTTTTCTGACTCCCTCTTGCTCTCAGTATCTCACAGTATTGATATGATCGTAGGCAAAGTAACATTATCTTCTATACATTTATTTTCCTATAACTTATGGGTCGAGAGGATGGCTTTTACCAGGAGACTTTAGATTAAAAAAAAAAAACAACTAAACTCAAAAGGAAGGAATTTTGGTCGAATAAACCAATTTTCGGACAAATTATAAAAATATCACGGAGAAAAGGTCTTGGAGTATAATTATTTTAGGATACATTTTTTTCTCAGTGCAAAATGTTTCAGTGACAATGAGTAACAAAATGTGTTGCTTGTGTTAGAACTCTCTGCTTGATTTATGTTGCTGAACACCACCCCCCCTCCCCCGAGCTGGAAGAAAGTGTTTTCTGTTGTTTGTTCGTTAGAAAATCCGGAAAAACTGGAGAAATACGTCAACCTGGGCGACGTTCTGATCAAACAGCTTTTCCGGGTACCGAGAATCGACCGAGGCACTCAGACCAACTGGAAGTGGAGGATCATGGCCGAGCGTTGGGGAAATGCCAGAATTATTCAGCCAAAGGTGAGGCTGGTCTATATCCCAGAGACGTCTCCGGAAATTGCGACGGAAATTGTGGCGAAGGAACCAAGTGCAGTGGTTAGTGTTTACGACAAGACATCAGGTAAGGTGTGAGTGTACCACATGTGTGAGTGAGTGAGTGAGTGGTTTGGGAAGTGAGTGAGTGAGTGAGTGAGTGAGTGAGTGAGTGAGTGAGTGAGTGAGTGAGTGAGTGAGTGAGTGAGTGAGTGAGTGAGTGAGTGAGTGAGTGAGTGAGTGAGTGAGTGAGTGAGTGAGTGAGAAATAGTTGACCTGCAATCAAAGTTGTCCGCAGAGTTTCCACCCATCCACCACCTCACTTCTCCAACCATCCACCACCTCACTTCTCCACCCACCCACCACCTCACTTCTCCACCCATCCACCACCTCACTTCTCCACCTATCCACCCATCCACCCCTCACTTCCCCAAACTTCCCCACCCATCCACCACCTCACTTCTCCACCCATCCACCACCTCACTTCTCCACCCATCCACCACCTCACTTCTCCACCCATCCACCACCTCACTTCCCCAAACTTCCCCACCCATCCACCACCTCACTTCTCCACCCATCCACCACCTCACTTCCCCAAACTTCCCCACCGATACACCACCTTACTTCTCCACCCATCCACCCATCCACCACCTCACTTCTCCACCCATCCGCCACCTCACTTCTCCACCCATCCACCACCTCACTTCTCCACCCATCCACCACCTCACTTCTCCACCCATCCACCACCTCACTTCTCCACCCATCCACCACCTCACTTCTCCACCCATCAACCACCTCACTTCTCCACCCATCCACCACCTCACTTCTCCACCCATCCACCACCTCACTTCTCCACCCATCAACCACCTCACTTCTCCACCCATCCACCAACTCACTTCCCCACCCATCCACCACCTCACTTCTCCACCCATCCACCAACTCACTTCTCCACCCATCATTCCACCCATCCACCACCTCACTTCTCCACCCATCCACCACCTCACTTCTCCACCCATCCACCACCTCACCTCTACCACGTTCATTTCAGTACTACCGTTTCAAAATTCGTCAGTAGAGACTGCGAACTTTGAGAACGTGTTACATGAGGTTGCCAAAAAATTGAACACAGAGGACCGCCCCACCCCAGGTAAATTATCCCAAATCTTGACCATGGTATATCAACAAAATTTCTTCCAGGCGTCTTTTCGGAATAGAGGAGAGGTAGGGGGCTGAGCCCTCTAGAAAAACGTCGCTGCCCCTCCCCCTCCCCCCTCCCGAACGAAATAGAATTTATTTTTGAAAAAAATAAACTTTTCCCAGTGTCCGTCCCCCATCCCCTTGAAAATTTAGTCTGCTCCCCCTAAATATTTCAAGTGCCCCTCTCTCCGGAGTAAAAAATTCCGGAAAAAAACACTATGTATCAGCAGGTACTAGAAGTTCTCTCAATTTCATCGGCATGGTTTTTCTTGTACTGTTCCGCTTAAAGTACCAAATCAGCTGCATTGGTTAAATTTAAGCATCTGATGGCATTGTAAAAAGTAAAAAGTAAAAATATTTCTATTTGCTTAAAAGGCTGAGACCATTCTTAGCGAGTGTGAGTTTCCATAAACTTTTTTTGTGTATGTTCTTGTATAACAAACGTCTGATGGTATCAGTAAAAATATTAGGTACGGTAGACAAAGTCTTAAAGTTTTATCAATTATAGGAAATTTAGTAAAGTACCAATTCCTAAACCAGAAATCGTTTAAAATTTAAAAGAAACCTACGTATAGAATCTAATAGATATATGAAATCTTGTTCACGGTACCAAAAAAAAAGTAAAAAAAAAATATTACTTCCATACGGAAATGATTTAAAAAAAAAAAAACGATTCCGGTTATTGGGAATTGCAAAGATCTTCATAAGGACATGTGTATTTGACCTCATTAGACCAAAATTGTACTCACGTTAGAAGTTTTTACAAAAAACCTTATATGCTGTTCTTAGATACTTCTAACGCTGAACTATTTGTCGTATTGTAAACTAATTAGCATAATATATCGTTTTAAAAATTTAATTTGTTGTTTTCATTTTTACACCTAGTAATAGAAGAAGACTCGCCCTTGGGTAAAGCTAAAACTGCATTGAATAAAGGTAACATCCTCTACCTCTACCACCCACTGCTAACATCCTCTACCTCTACCTCCCACTGCTAACATCCTCTACCACCCACTGCTAACATCCTCTACCTCTACCACCCACTGCTAACATCCTCTACCACCCACTGCTAACATCCTCTACCACCCACTGCTAACATCCTCTACCACCCACTGCTAACATCCTCTACCACCCACTGCTAACATCCTCTACCACCCACTGCTAACATCCTTTACCACCCACTGCTAACATCCTCTACCTCTACCACCCACTGCTAACATCCTCTACCACCCACTGCTAACATCCTCTACCACCCACTGCTAACATCCTCTACCACCCACTGCTAACATCCTCTACCCCCCACTGCTAACATCCTCTACCACCCACTGCTAACATCCTCTACCACCCACTGTTAACATTCTCTACCTCTACCACCCACTGCTAACATCCTCTACCACCCACTGTTAACATTCTCTACCTCTACCACCCACTGCTAACATCCTCTACCACCCACTGTTAACATTCTTTACCTCTAACCCCAGTCCTAGAGATCCGAAACCTTCGCACAGCACGTGACTGCGACAAGATCGTCGACACCAGCGACCTTGACTTTGACCCCTTCGACCCCCGCATCAACCAGCGCTGCCTCTACAACAACCTCAAGCACCGCAGCCCTGCCGCCCCTCACGACACCACCAAAGTCTTCGGACGACGCCGATCTTCAATCAGACCCTCGCGACCAGAAAGCAGACGACGAATCAGCTCGATCAAAAACAGTTCCGGTATCTCGGAAGAGGCGGGCCAGCCTGCGCAGGTACCAAAAACCGATGCAGAGCCGGTTCCCCGGGAGAGGCAAGGTTCCGGTGCCAGCACCAGAAAAGCCTCCAGACAAAACCGCTTGTCTTTTGAGGAAAAGGACGCTAGCGGTCAGCAAACGGACGCTAGCGATCAGAAAAAGGGCGGCAAAACTCGCCGACGCTCCTCCCAGAAGGTGCCTGCTCAACAAGGTAAAAGTGAGAGCATGGCGAAACTAGAGGAGGGCGCCATCACACAGGAGGTTGAGGAGCTACAGCCGGAGACTGCTGACGGGGCTGTAGCCTTACCTGATTAGGCTATTGAAGGAAGCGTTAGATTTAATTAACGGACAGTTGACGGGGTGTAGCTTTACCTGATTAGGCTATTGAAGGAAGCGTTAGATTTAATTAACGGACAGCTGACGGGGTGTAGCTTTACCTGATTAGTCTATTGAAGGAAGAGATTTAATTAACGGACAGTTGACGGGGTGTAGCTTTACCTGATTTGTATATTGAAGGAAGCGTTAGATTTAATTAACGGACAGCTGACGGAGTGTAGCTTTACCTGATTAGTCTATTGAAGAAAGAGATTTAATTAACGGACAGTTGACGGAGTGTAGCTTTACCTGATTAGTCTATTGAAGAAAGCGTTAGGTTTAATTAACGGACAGTTGACGGAGTGTAGCTTTACCTGATTTGTCTATTGAAGGAAGCTTTAGATTTAATTAACGGACAGTTGACGGAGTGTAGCTTTACCTGATTAGTCTATTGAAGAAAGCGTTAGGTTTAATTAACGGACAGTTGACGGGGTGTAGCTTTACCTGATTTGTCTATTGAAGGAAGCGTTAGATTTAATTAACGGACAGTTGAAGTAATGTAGTTTAACCTGAGTTGTCTATTGATATGACTACATTGAAGGCAAGCGGTAGATTAAATTCATTGACAGTTGACGGATATAGAGAGATTTACCTGACAAGGCTTATTGACATAATTACCTTCAAAGACATCTCCCTCCCCCACCCCCACATTTTTCAAGTTGCGATTTTATTATTTGACGAAACAGACATGACCTTGACACCTGATGTTATTTACATTGCACGGGCTAATAACTGACAATTACAAAGTGTTTTTCATGTTGGTTGAACTTTGAATAATTAAAATAATTTTAATTCAATTTCAATTAGTCTAGGTGTCTGTGTACGCATGCGTTTAGTATGAAGCATAATACGACCAAGATGTCGCTTAAAACGAGTTAGGATCACGGATTCGACTGCGTAACAATTAACACATCATGTAATTTAATGTGTTGATTATCATCAGGAAAAGATAAGTCTTAATCAATGTTTAGAGGACACACACTAGTCCAGCATACTCGTATATGACTCACGTAGGGGAAAGTATGGCTTGCTGGGTAGACGTACTGACCACACTTTCCCTTCGTCAGCCGGGGTCAAGAAACGTATGAACTCTACTTGAATCGTTAATGCATTAAATATTAATAAAATTCATAATTCTAAAGAGATTTTTAAAAATAAAAATGGATATTCCTGTGCAAGAAAAACAATTACATTTAGAAAATTTACCAAAATGTCTGGTTTGAAGTTGAGGTTTTGGCTTAACTATAAAAAAAAAACAACAAACACACATGGGGTTGCTTCAACAGTTTTATTACAAAAAAAAAAGTTTTTGTGACGTAAAAGTATCACATCTTATGATCAGCTTTAGCCGTCATTAAAACATCACTACAGAGATCTATCAACCTTTAGCCGTCATTAAAACATCACTACAGAGATCTATCAACACCACTACACTGGACGCGCCCCGTCCAAAGGTTGTCTAGAAAGTAGACTTAGTGCTACTTCATGCCCCAACAAGCTTGGCATGCTGCAGTAGTAGTCTTAGTGCTACTTCATGCTCCAACATTCTTGGCGTACTGCAGTAGTAGCCTTAGTGCTACTTCATGCCCCAACATTCTTGGCGTACTGCAGTAGTAGCCTTAGTGCTACTTCATGCCCCAACATTCTTGGCGTACTGCAGTAGTAGCCTTAGTGCTACTTCATGCCCCAACATGCTTAGCGTGCTGCAGTAGTTCAGTTGGCTACCTTATACATACATTTTTGTGAATACATCATATTTTAAGCATCAAGAATGGGGCTTTTAGGGAGGGGGGGGGGGGGGGGGAAAGGTATTTTTAGTTTATTTCTTGGCAAGGGAGGGCACTTAGGGATAAATGTTGAAAAAAAAGACTATACATCTTAAGTTAATTTTTAAAAAAAACATTTTTCTTATAATTATTTAGCTATTCAGTTAATAAGTTTTGTCTGTTTCAACTTCAACCACAATAATTCACTAAGCATGAAATATCTAAATAAATATTAACTATGAGGAATTATCCCCCCCCCCCCCTTTTCATCAAGCAGTGTAGTTACCATAGAAACAAGAATAAATAAACTAACAACAATGTCGGCACTGGGATGTATAAATACCACTTCTTGTGGTCATTTATCAAAAATAAACTTCTCAACAACAGTATAAAATGTCGATGTCATATTGTCCAAGAGATTACACAACAAACGTCAGTGTACTAGAGGGCTCATAAGGGGACATAACACAAACAACAACTTCCTCGTTTCATCTCTGAAAAACCTACTGAAAATTATTTGTTACCCAACCAAAAGTCAAAGTTAAATGCAAAATGGTCTTTCAAAATTGTTGTTAACAGGAGATTTAAAAATAAATTATACAGGCACTATTCCATTGTGAATTTACCATTATAAAATTACAAGATCAATAAAAAAAAAAAAAATCTAGCATTTAGCCAAGTTACATAACTGAAGGAATCACTGTAAAAGGTTGAGTTATAGCAGAGTTATGTCCCCTTAAAGTCCACACCTACAATAATGTACAAAATTAAAACAGCTAATACAACAATGTGAAAACCATCTACATACAAGTATTTCTAAGCTATAAACATCATACATAGCTGTGTCTCTGGTTAATATGGCTAACGGTAACATATAACACATTCAATTAGTATGAGAGGAAAAATTAACACTAGGCTCATACATAAAATAACTGCTTTTTCACTCAAGTACATTTCTCATTAGCCAGTTACAAAAAAGCTATTTCAATAGTTACTGCGCAATATCAAAATCATGTTACGAAGAATTTAAAAATGTATTTAACTTTTAAATCATTCCACAACACATAGATCTATACTTAAACAGATGTGGATATGGGTCTAAGTTGTGACTCTTGGCTTGTAACAACTACTATGTAACCAAGGGAGGTGACTAGGTTTATGTGTGTGTTTATGAACCAGTGGGTCACTCTTTAGTTAGTAACAATGGTCCAATTCTATACATACATATTCAGTACACAGAACACACTATATTGTTGCCTACCGTCCCTTTATCTATATTCATGTATTTTTTTTTAAAAGTGATAGAGTAACTTGAATATATTAACTTGAATCTGTGTATATTTATTTCAATTAAATATATAACCCTGCATAGTTACACCCAATATAGATACAACCTCATTAGTCAAAAAATATCTCAGTTAAAAAATCATTTCAACCTTATGTAGTTAACAATTTATTTCTAACACATATTAACGAGAAACATAGCTAATTAAATAACTTCTGTAATGCAACATTACAACATCAGCCTCTAAACACCTGAGAGAAAACACGAACCAAAACATACAGTAGCCCAACACCCCTAGACAAACACAGCAACACACACTGGCTTACACAACACCAACAACAGATGGTGCGGTTCAAAAAGATTAAAAAGTTGCACCAGCTAAAACAACAAGCCAAAAAAAGTCTAAAGTAAATACTGTTTGTACAAAATACAAATGTTGCTTCTCGCAACCATTTGAGCATTAGAACAGGATAGATAAAAAAAACAAAAACCTTCTCAAAAGCATGTTAAAAATAAAATATAAACAAGTATTAATGCAGTGCACTCTATTACAAGCCATGCATAGTAATTTAACAATTTTTAAATTACCATAGCGCATGGCCTTTTACATTACTAACATGTATCAAAAATGTACTGAATTTATAAACGTATCTTAAAGCAACATCATAGTATGATGACTGCATTCCTTGATTAATTAATCATTTCATTAACAACTGCATTAGTTTTGGGTGTCACCCCTGCCTGGTATGGAAACTTACAATTAATTTGTTAATTAAGAGGAACTAAAAAAACTTAGGAAATGTAAACTGAGATGTCACGTATATTTGTAAACTGATACCCATATTGTTGGGAGTGAGGTATTCCATTCATTATAAAGAGGAGACAGAGGGTTAATAACCTTCTCACAAATTCATTAGTGTAGTAATGTCATCTTAGTTTACTTCTATTAACACTACAGAAATAATGTTAAGGAATGATATACAATTTGTTTTTAGCAACACCTACTTCAAAATTACATTAGACCAATTTCTACAGTAATGTTGGTTTAAAATTACATGAGACCAATGCCTACAGAAATGTTGTTTAAAATTACATTATACCAATGCCTACAGAAATGTTGGTTTAAAATTACATTATACCAATGCCTACAGAAATGTTGGTTTAAAATTACATTATACCAATGCCTACAGAAATGTTGGTTTAAAATTACATTATACCAATGCCTACAGAAATGTTGGTTTAAAATTACATTATACCAATGCCTACAGAAATGTTGGTTTAAAATTACATTATACCAATGCCTACAGAAATGTTGGTTTAAAATTACATTATACCAATGCCTACAGAAATGTTGGTTTAAAATTACATTATACCAATGCCTACAGAAAAATTATTTTAAAATCTGAGAAGACCAATGCCAACTGCAATAGCGAATGACAAAACATCATCCTATTAAGAGAGATAATTAAACGAGGTCAGTGGAAAAATTAAGGCCAGTGGTTAATTAACGTCTGGTGAGAACTGGGAGATAATGAACAGGTGTTAACGAGAGAACAACACTCCATCAACAGCCTGCTAGCCAGGTGAATATGTGATACATAATGCCTGACCAGTGAACATGGTGACCATTGGGCCAAGACATTTGTATTGAATCACTGCAGTTCTTTCTTTCACACTAAAACAGCTGGGGAAATTCATTAGGAGGCTATATGATAATCTTGATCACAGCCTAATTCTGTCTTAATTGTTTTGACCAGCACATTTAATTAATTTAAAAGTAATTTTAAATTAAATTTTAAAAAATGAAATTAAGTCCCAAACCAATAGAAAAATAATATTAACTATACCAAGTTAATATGTTTTTAGAGATTAGACTAATATAATAAACACATTAAAAAATAAGACAAAAAAGTTTTTGCATGAAAAAAAATGGAAAACTTAACCAAAGTAACAAGAAGTAAATAGAAGAAAAAAATGTATTTACTACATTTGCAGTATTCTTGAAATTTATGCAATCAAATAAGTGATTGTAGAAGAAATTAATGCAAGGAATAATGTGAAAAAAAATTTAAAGTTAACCTGAAATATTGAACAACAGCAAAGTGCTTACAATAAATCAATGCACAGTGTTTACAACTGATCTCATAGTAAATCAACATGTAATGTTTATTTTAAAAAATGAACAGAGAAAATGGATTGCTAAAAGTGATCTCTTGAATAGAAATAAATAAGACCATTACAGCATTAAAAACATTTGAAAGCTCGCTGGTAAAATGTTGCTTCTTACAACCATTTTAGAATTGAGCACCAAGGGAGACAATATGATGCTAGAGTAGAGTCAAGGGCAAAAAAGGCCGTTATCAAAATAACAAGTATAATAATCCAGTGTATTTGCTTGACAGTCTATAAAACAAAAAAATTGTATGAATGCATTAACTTTGCACATATAAAGTAAAATGCATATTTACTATGCTGTGTACGCTGAAGTAATTGTAAATTAAGAACACGAAAAGAACAGAAAAATAAATAAGACACATTAACAATAATCTTGCTACATATCTAAATAGGAAAAACAGACAGTTTTGGCCATAAGTAATTATCTTCCTTCAAATAACACATGTGAAGTTTCAAACAAATTTATAGGCACAGCAACTACAGTTATCAGGAATGCTTGGTGATAAGGTTTTTACTAAACTATTGTACAAACTACATAATAGAACACACACAAATTTCTAATTTGCTAATTAAATCAGTTTAAAAACTATCTATGTCACTACCCTGTATTAATCAACAACATGGTTGTTTTTAAAAATATTTTTTTTTAAAATAAAAACCTTTACTTCACTATGATCATAAATTTTACTATTATATCTCTATTTGTATACAAAGATCTAAAATTTAAATGAAAAATAGAATGTTATACATCATTTTTATTAACAGTGACTTAGTTCTGGGTAATACTGGCTGACATATTTAAGTAGAGATAAATAAATGGGAATGAACTTTGAATATCATTATCATAAAGAGTGGATATGATGACAGTGAAACAGAAAGCAAGAGACTCCAAGCATTAGGTTAAACTAAGCAGGCTTTTCATATATTATGAGCAGGTCACTTTAATAGCCGAGATTCTCCAAATGTATTATGTGAATAAATTTTAAGCAGTTTCAGTTTCAGTCAGTAAAATGTGAGATTTGAACAGTTTGTACGGGATAAAAACAGATCTATGTAGTAATATTGCTACCTTAGTAATGCCATCACGATGTATGTAATTTAACATTTTATTTAACAAAATAATTATTAACGAATTCTTTACAATACACAACAAGCAGTGATTGTTAACTTGCTCCTAAAACAATAACAATTGCTGACATTACATTAACATTATATTAATATGGCAGTAATTATAAACTTATTGGGCTATAGATGTATCAATATATATGTATAAATAATTATAACAAAAAAAAAAATAGCTTTGTGTAAATTAAATATCATGGCACATTTGTCACTTCTCATGACGAAAAGCATCATGACAGAAGGGAGGTAACTCAAGTGAGACAACATACCTGGCTCAGCTTAAAAATAACAGATCTTAGAGTAATAATATTGGCTTTAAAAATAGTAACAAAAAGCGTTATAATCATTCTATATCTATATCTGTCTAGTGGTACTTATAAAATCAATGATTCACATGTGAACAAAATTTGCTGTGCGCCAGAAATATCTGTATGGTATAAAGCAGTAAATTAGACCAACGCTACTTCTAAAAAAATTAATATAACAAACAATGTGAATCTAAACTAAAGCTGTTAATGTGCTTTTAAACAAATGGTGCAGAAGCTAAGAATACACAAGGAAAATTTTCAGATATTTAGAAGATCAAATGTTTAAAATTATCATACAATTTAGTCATTGATTTTTTAACTTTGTTTACACAAATAATCATGAATAAAATTCTATGACAGGAATGAGAGGTGAGACTTTTAACTACAAACTCAAAGTTTACCAACCTGGTAAAGTTAATCTAACACTAACTACATTTGATAAAATACTGAATATAATTTTTAACACTTGATTTTTCAGTCAATCAAGATAACTAAACTAAGTAGTCAAAACAAACTAACTAAATCTTTAAAATATTTCCTCCTTTAGAAGTCACAGCCTAAAAAGCAAGTTTTAAAAACTGCTACATTTATATCCATTACAAAATCAACTAAGATAGATTACTCTAATCTAAATCTAAATCTTTTACCGATAACAAAATAATCTAAGCTCACATCCAAAAAATTTACAACTCTAATTTTAACTCTTTATCATTAACGAGATAATCTAAGATAGTCGCTGTATCGGAGTAATGGCAAAAACCTACCTCACTACTCCCACAACTAGCAAATGAAGATGAGATCACTTTACCATTGTATAGAACACGAACAAAGCTTAAAGGATTTCTTTTCTCTAATGGAATGTTCATCAGTTTCAGTAGCTTGTCCACCTTTTCAGGCTTGTCAAGCGGACTGAGAAATTTTGGTTCATAAGTTTCAAAGACCAGTCTAGAGCCAGGCATCAAATGATTGCTGACAGTGAGATTTAATGATGCCAGAAGACTCAACATCAACAGCTCATCTACAGCTAGCAATTTCATATCCTGTTCCTCCGGTAAATCTTCACTGGACAAAATAAAGTTTTTTATGTGTTGACGCAGGGGATAGGTCAGAGACACCGCATACGTGTGAAAAAGTGGATTTGATGTTAAATACTTGTGATGAGTATCAGATGAATTGAAAATATTGGTTATATAATTAAAATGTAGATCTTTATTTTGATTACCAAAATTTGAGTTATCGAATTCTTGATTATTCTGTTTTCTGACAACTAGCTTGGGGTAAAGTTGGTTTAAAAGGTAATTTATTGCTTCCTTGGCAGTTGTTTCATCTTTCATCCCTGTTTCTAGTATAGATAATTTATTAGATTTCAGTAAATGAGTTTCTTGTTTATAAGATTCTGCTACGTAAAAATGAAGATCATCCTGAGGTTGTTTGACATCCGTTTTGAAATGAAAGTCTGACGGAACCTTGACAACGTCGCTATGAATGAACTGTTTCTCTGTTAACAGCCCGTACAGTAGTGCATTCATGCTGTGGAACAGCACCTCGTCCCCTACACTCTCAGCCAGACCCTGGCTCATTACATGTTGTAAACTTTTCAGCTTGCTCAAGTAAACCTTTGATAAATGCTCTCCAACATGGATCATGTGAAGTACGCCCGCAGCAGATAAACTCTCGCCGCGACAAGTTTCAGGATCAAACTTGAAAACTTTGAAAGCCGAATTAGATTTCCTTTTAAATTTTTCTTTTGTTGATAGAATTTCTTCAAAGCTTTCAAATTTTTCAGACTTGTGGAGCTTTAAAGTTTCTCTAAATTTACACTGGTGTTGTTTCTTCTCCCACAGTGTCGGGAGGTGTATGTGGTCTGGGGGTATGCGAAGACCAGGTGACACAACCACTAGAACTTTCTTTAGCAGGAAACCATTTATCTCTTGACCTGAACATTGAAAAGCAGTACATTATTAACTGGTCAAATTACTAATTGTAAGAATTCTTGGTTAAAGTTTCAAATTTATTTTAAAATGTCATGTTATAGGGACAACTCACTAGCCACATATCAATTAATGTTGAAGACACCAAGAGCTAAGCTAATCAACAACAAATCCAATGCTTTGAATCATCTATTTGAATTTTGCCCTTCTTAACCTCCTCTACATCATGGTAAGTTACCTAAACATATATTACAATAGTTAAACCCTCCTACATCTCTTCTTCTTCTTCATTCTTAATTATTAGTGTTGAAGGGGATCGAGATTTATCTGCCAGTGGGTTTGAACTCGAGACTTTGTTCGAATTTATCAACCATGAGCTTTTTGCCGACTCGACCACGCCTCCAACACAATTAAGCGTTACGTGTCAACTGGTTATGCGCCATTGAGGCCATTGACTCCGATTTCAGCCTGCTTTTCTTTTTGGATTTGCTTCCATAGCCTTTGTCCAACCAAGAACAAACTACAAGGCAGCAGTTGTTTAATTTTGGAGTTGTCTCTCCTAGAAGAGTGGCTGTCCCCAGCTAACGAGCCTCATCTGCCCGAGGGTTCGAACTCGAGACTTTTTCGGTTTAGCAACCATGAGCTTTACCGACTCGACCACGCCGACCCCCTAACCCTCCTACAGATAGCTAACAGTAGCATGGGTTACCCCCATCCTATCCACAAGTCAACACAATGGTAACAGGGCTAATCAGGGCTATTTAACAATGTAACAAAACACAATTTTAATACTACTATCGATGAAAATGGGATGGCATAGTCAGGCAAAAAAGTCTTGAGATCAAACCAAGGGATTGCCATCTTAAGTCCAACCATTTTTTATGGGTAACTGAGTCATTTTAGAGGGAAAAATGTCAACTCCACTTCACTTGCCCCATGGACTATGTCCAAAATGTAAACTACATGAAACAATTATTTTACCTTCCTGGCTAACAGAAGTGACAGGGTACATATCCAAGACACGAGCATGTCGGGCTAGTGTGGTAGAAGATGGACGTGCTGAGGACTCCTGAGATTGATTTGAGGCTGTTACTTGCAACACTAGGAGGATGTTGAATACTTCTGGAACAAATTTTTTTTTTAAATTAACAATATGAGTTCAGTTTGAATGAATAAAATAGACCCTCATAAAACATATATTTCCCAAAGTTCTGGGTTAGTAGAAGAATTAAAATTATCAGAAACGATGATTTATTGCAAGCGTGTCTCGTAGTTTAAGTTTAACAAATCTAGACTATTCAATGATTTAATTATTGTAGGAAAATTGATAAAACAACTTATGCCAATACATTTATTTATTTATTACATTGCAATTATTAGGAAGGCTTAGCCATTATCATTATGTAATTACTGTTATTTTAATGAGGATTCATATTAGTATGCTAATTGGAGTTATTTAATTAATTTAAGGTCAGGTTTGTTTAGTCATGTTTACTTGACTGCATTTTTTTAAACTCAGATAAACCAAAACATAAAATCATCCAATAATACAAAAAATAGATTTTTGTGTTTATAGATTAAAAATAATATTAATTGGCCTACTGACAATTTTTTAAGGTACTAAAAAATACTCAATACATAGGTAGGTTCCTAAACATATGCACTTTATAAACTATAAACTACACTTTTCTTAAACTGGTGCCTTGAATTTCCAACATATTGAACATAAAGTTTAATGTATGTATTGTTGCTAGACCTAATACTAACTTTATTATTAACTATTTTATAAGCTGAACTACGTCTAACTTTACTTTAGATCTCTCTATTGTAGGATTTAGAAGCATTTGTAATTACCCTGACAAATTATAAATTATTTTTAAGGCTATAGATTTAGACCCAGATCTATTACTCTACTTAAAAAATAGGCTTAGGCCAACTATCAAAGTTAAAGTCGAGACTTTTGGGCTAGCAGCAGAGGCGTAGCAATGGGGGGACAGGGGGGGACATATGTCCCCGGGCGCCGACCTTAGGGGTTTAGAAAAAGTAATCGAAAGGTTGAGGGGGTGGAAATCAAAAGTTTGAGGGGGGTGCAAATTGAAAGTTTGAGGGGTGGTGGGGTGCAAATCAAAAGTTTGTCCCCGGGCGCCGGGAAGGGTCGCTACGCCTCAGGTTAGCAGTCTAAATCTTTGCCGCTAGGAACGTCGCCCCATAGCTAGGTCTAGTCTATGATTTTTACAAGCTTTTATTTAGCTTGCTTCCTCTGTCTGTCGAGCTTTTGTCTGTCATCCATCATGGATTAAAAATGGCGAACGAAATTCTGACCAATTTCTCTTAAACTTAGGCAGAGGCGTGGCGACCCTTTCCCCGCACCCGGGGACAAACTTTCAATTTGGCGCCCCCCTCGGGTACAACCTTTCAATTTTCAATTTGCACCCCCCCCCCCCCCAAACTTTCCATTTGCACCCCTGCGATATATTTTTTATATTTATAATGCAAAACTGCAGCTAAAATGGGATTTTAATTTGTTTTTCCAACCCTTTTTGGCGCCCCCTAAGGTGGGCGGCCATAGTCATTTGTACCCCCCGCCCCCCCCCCTTGCTACGCCTCTGCACGTGGGTCAAGATAATGACAATGCAATCTGACATCAAATTTGATTTAAATGGATGCTTAATTTAGGCTATATTTTTAAAATTTATTAAAGTTAACTATAAACTATGACTAAGGCAAGTAAGCTAGCTAAAGTCATTGAATAGTCCTATAAACAATTATAAAGAAAAGTGCGTAAATTTTATGTTATTAGTAGGTCTATTGAATATCTTTAATAAAAGTTAAGTATGCCTACTGTTTAGAAGCTAGGTCTAGTAAAAATAAACGAACAAAAAAATAAATAAAAATAGAGCGAGTTTCTGGGAGGGGGGGGGGGAGTGCAAAGTAAATAACTCACGTAGGCACCGATTTAGGACGCGCACCAATGTCGAACGTTTTGATTTCTTCACAAAGTCACAACGAAACTCGACACTCAAATCCATCCCAGTAGCCGCTAAAAAAGAGCTCTGCTTTTCTGTGATTTACATCCTTTTATATTATCCCCAACTCCATTATGGTAAACTATTCACCCGCGACTTGGTGATGTAACAGGCAAAAAAAAATAATAACATGTCGCTAGCCTAGGTCAAGTCAATACAAACGACGTGCTGTTTAACTCGGAGCTCTTCGGTAAAATAAGTTCGGTAACTCAAAACAACCTTGAACTTTGAACTAGGCTAACAATTTGTTAAATCCCCGTTAGGTAAGACCTAGCTAGGCTATAGATCTCTATATTGACCCTAATATTTCATGATTTTATGTAACAGCGAGTAGTGTAGAGGTGAGGGGAGAGGATGGGGGTGGGACTGAGCCTGTAGGAGAGTAGGATCCGCCCCGGGCGCAAGGATTTTCTCCGCATTGATGTGTAGAGAAATATTTTAAAACAAATTCTCCAACCATGGGCATAAAGTCTTAACACTTAGGCTAGGTTTTATAACTAGGCCTGCCTATATAATATAGGGCCTACAGAATAGGACTACAGCTTGAATAGATAAAAGGACTAAGAGTAGTGCGGGCCACCCAAAACGAAGTATAACTAGTTTTCGTGAGGAATTCTACTTGTTCCAGTTACATAGGGCCTACACTATTAGACACAGCTTGACACCATACAGGGTGGGGTGCCACCAAACGAACCATAAGTTAACTATTTTAATTTACCAAAATATTTTTTCCTGTAGTATGAAAAAAAAAACCCTTTAGAACGTAGGCTGCCACTAAAATATAAAAGAGTAAAACACAAAGCACATTTTTTTTTCAACAAATTGTTTAGAAAAATAAGCTAAAATCAATAACGTGATTGATTTTTACTAAGGATTTAATGTGTGCGTCATGTCTTACGTTAAGAGAGAGATCCCCCCCCCCAACTCACCCTTCTCCACACTCATGCTTATTCTCGCGATAAAATATCATTTTATTGATACTATTAATAGACCTATACAATAAAACTTTTAGGAGTCTGTAATGAATATTATAGGACTAGTCTATTATGATCGAAAAACCATTTCATTCGCCTGTTTGATGGGACTTATGTAACACTACACAAGGGAAACAACCGAATCATGCGATCGATCTAACACATAAGTTATCAGATCTATCATCACAGCTAGCTTGGGTGTTGTCGTTATCTAACGCCCCACCCATCCTCAGTAACCCTTACTCATAATCCAGCTTACCTCAGCGTAATGTGAAGGTGAAAATGTTACATTTAATTCAAGATATTTCCACGCTCCGCAGAGCACCGAAGCAACAACTCTCAACGCATGAAAAGCACTTCATGTCGGCTATAAATACTTTACCTGGGAATACAGACAAATTTCTTTATGCTCTGACATGTCTAAATATTTCATTCAGAACTTGTTTTCCGCTCTATGATAGACCCCCCTTGATTCTCACCATACTTCAGATCAAAAAAATTAAATTCTCAAGTGGAGTAGAGAGGGTGTGTGGGCGCCCATTTTATGTCACCCTAGACACCCCATTGTTCATTATAATAACGTGCACATCACGCAAAGGGTTGATTCTCAAGCATTTAGGTTTGAGCAGTGGCGTAGCCAGGTCGGGTGTCACCCGGTGGGGCGCCTAATGGTGTCACCCCCATCCCCTCCCGCCCCTCGTAAGAAAAAAATGTATTTATGTATATATATTATATATATATATATATATATATATATATATATATGTGTGTGTGTGTGTGTGTGTGTATATATTCCATAAACACTTGTAAGTATGTGTATACGCATGCTTATATGTATTCAAATATTTTTTTTGTCTGGATTAATTTAATTCATTGACCCCCCCCCCTCCCCCCTCACGGTGCTTGCTTGAAACTGTGTTCAGATAATACTAACGCAGCCCCCCCCCCCCCTCGCTACGCCTCTGGTGCCTATCCCTAGTAAAGGTTTAACGTAAACCGATCTACCTGTAATAGAACGAGAGACACAAAGATTTGCACAAATGCCGTTTTCTCAAGTGGACATTTGCCCGTATGTGACAAAAGTAATGACAAAATGGAGATTTGCCGAATTAATTTGGTACTTCATAAAATATATTCTCACAACTTTATCAGAGATAGTTATATGGCATACATTAAGCATGCTCCATATTAAGAATAAATACAAATAACACAAGGCAGTAAAAAACAGCTGTAAGAGTTTTGAAATATGTGAATAGGTTTACATATTGAGGAAGTATAATAGACAAAGACTGAACGGTGGAGTAGACATGTAGACAAGATGTCTGAAGCCAAGTGAAGCTTTGCGTCAACATATATTTGGAAGACTTACTCAGAGGCGTAGCGATCCCCCCCCCCCCCCGTCAAGATTTCGATTTGCACCCCCCCTCTCGAGATTTCGATTTGCACCCCTCCCCCCTAAGGTCGGCGCCCGGGGACATATGTCCCCCCCGCCCCCCCCCCCCCCCCTCAATACGCTACTGGACTAACTTATTGAATATAACTACCCGATTTGTGTTAAAACAAAATGAAAACAGGGAAGTGAACGTTACGGTCATAATTTAGGCGGTAGTTAAAATGTTTTGGGTACCTAAAGTTAGGGAAGGTAAAGGCGAATTGACATGGTGCTGCTCACACTATCCCTTCATATCCCGAGGTCACAGAAACAGGTGAACTCTACATCACCTGCCCTATGAACCGCCAGGTTCGAAAGGGAACTGTTTTTAAAAATCTTAGATCATCCGAAAAAATAGGCAAATCACTTCTAAACGTGCATGACGTAGGAGTCATATGAAAAATGAACAAGCTTTTGTGCAGATAGGCCTTTATGCGGGCGGGAGGGGGGCTTTCAGAAACGACGTTATCCTTTATCTGATGCTTGACACTTCCCCATTACCATCTAGACGAGAAGTCACACCCACTGCCATTAGCCCCCACCCCCACCTCCCTCCCCCTCTCCCTCCCCTCTTTCAAATGACGTCACATTTTTTTTTTTAAAAACAAGATTTTTCATTAAGTGAACTTAGGCAAAATAAGCCTGATTCAATTTTATTACATATTTTTTTTTACAAACAAGGGATTCCAAATAGTTATTAAAAATGCTAAATTTCAGTTTCTAAGATTACATTTTAATTAACAAAAACGTGACGTAACATTATCTGTACACCTTGCAATCCTTCCCGACACATCGTCATAAAACTTCACCCCTCACACCCCCGACCCCCTTAGGGATGTGACGTAATTAATTTATGACCCCCTTATAGACCAGGAGCAATGTAGACATACACAATACAGCAACACATTTTGAGCAGACGTTTGGTACTAGGCCTGATTTAGTCGCTGCTAGAGTTTCTAGCACCGTACCACGACCTGCTACACCCAACCACTGCAGTGTTTACATTAAAGGCCAGTGCCTAACAATAAGGAACAGACAACTGGTGCTAGCAGGTTATAAATTTTAGAACAAACAGATACAGTTGTGTAGGAGTTAGAAGCTATCAACAAGTAGCTAACAGATATCTTTATAAGCTGTCGGGGCTAACAGTTACTAGCTGTCGGTTAGGGACTAACAGTTACTAGCTGTAGGCTAGGGGATAACAGTTGTAAACTATCAGCTAGGTGATAACAGTCATAAGCTATTTACTAGGGGCTAGCAGTTATAAATTATTGGCTAGTGGCTAACAGTTATAAACTATCAGCTAGGGGCTAACAGTTATAATATATCAGCTAGGGACTAATAGTTAGAAGCTATCAGCTAGGGGCTAACAGTTATAAACTAGCAGCTAGGGACTAACAGTTATAAACTATCGGCTAGGGGCTAACAGTTATAAACTATCAGCTAGGGGCTAACAGTTATAATATATCAGCTAGGGACTAATAGTTAGAAGCTATCAGCTAGGGGCTAACAGTTATAAACTATCAGCTAGGGGCTAACAGTTATAATATATCAGCTAGGGACTAATAGTTAGAAGCTATCAGCTAGGGGCTAACAGTTATAAACTATCAGCACAGTTATAAACTATCAGCTAGAGGCTAACAGTTATAATATATCAGCTAGGGACTAACAGTTAGAAGCTACCGGCCAGGGGCTAACAGTTATAAACTATCAGCTAGGGGCTAACAGTTAGAAGCTATCAACAAGTAGCTAACAGAGAATAGCTAACAGTTATAAGCATATGATACATAGGAGCAAAAATAGCTGCAACTATGGAAGCTAAATAGTACACTTTCACTGATAGAAGCTAAAAGCTAGGGGCTATCAGCTAGAAGCTACTAGCTAGGAATTATCAGTTATAAGCAATATCTAATAGCAAAGATATACAATAATATATAACTATTGCAGCTGGAAGCTAAATAGTACACTTTAACACAGGGGTCTCCAAACTTTTCAGCCCGAGGGCCGCATTAACTATCAAATATCAGTTCGGGGGCCAGAGTTTTTTTTAGGCATCTCTTCGGGGTGGTGCCCCCCCCCCCCACCCACCCACCGAAGAACGTCTACCGCCCCCCCTCCCCCATACGAAATATAATTTATATAGAAATATATACAAATGTTAAGAGTCCACCCCCCCCCCCCCCCACTCGAGGTCCAAGTTTGCTCTCAAATTATTTTTCACGTTATTCATTATTGAAAATGTTTATTCACACACGTATGTTGTTCCAAAATTTGAAAGGTACTTTGATGCAAAAGTTTTAATATTAGGAATGTCTTCCTTGTGCGAAAACTTAAGAAAACCCATCCGCCCTTCTTTGAACGTGTCTCCAAGGAAGTCATTTTCTTGCAATTCAATTACCTCCAGCTGCATTTCAATATTGCAACTGGCCACATTTGCTTCAAATTGGCTTTGAAACAGTCTCACTTATTCTGTCTTTGAATCCAAGTCAGAAAACCGCTACTGAAACTGCAGCTGGTGGTCTTTAATGATCTCGTATGTAAATGACGTGGGGAACTCAGTGGTTGCTTCAGCCGTAAAGACCTTGCAATGCTGAAAGTGTGTCAAGTTGTTAGCCTTTACTTGTTCCAAAATCATGACAAGTTTGTATCTGAAGGCCTTTATGTGGGTGTATAGATCAGAAACTAGATTTCCCTCTCTTGCCGTTTTAGGTTCAGAAAATGTAAATGACTAGTTATGTTTGCAGCAGAGGCCAATTTCTATACCCACTCTCTCTTCATCAGACAATAATGGCTGTGGCTTGCCTTTACTTTCCAGGAATTCACCTATTTCCTTTCTTAACTTAAATACTCTGCTCA